GACTTTGATAGGGAGGAAATATTGTAAATGCTGTACCAGTCCTTACAGTCAATTATTTTCTTGTGCACCTACAGGATTTCTGTGGTGGGTTGTGAAGAACAGATACTTTGCCATTCAGGACTGAGTCAATGTATTAACATTAGGATTAGAACTGTACATGCATATTAGGAAGATATTCATATAATTAGCAAGCAAGAATTTTGAAGGTCAGTTTAAAGGCGGTAGGTAAATACAGTACTGTCATTCAGCAAGCTACAGGAGGCTGACAATTAAATATCTTACTGTGCATTGTTAAATGTGAAATGACACCTGTTTAGAAGACCACATCAATGTTAGGACAAGTGTCTGCTGCTTCTCCAGTATTTATGCCAGACATTTGTGTTTTAATGCAAGGCACACCAGATTGAAAAACCACCTGGATGAACATATTACTTCCAGTCCCAGCGGTGAGCATATTGGCCAGGTTTACTGTTTAACAGTGTTCTTTACAATATTTTATGTAAATGGATGACACGTTGGTGCTGACATGGCAGATTTACGAGAGCCCACACAGGCTTTGCTTTGGTTAATGGTTCTTTCATTTTTGTAGATCTCTTTTATTGCTTTGTAAACGTGTTCGTGTATATATTTTTTAAATTGTCAGGTCATATCAAACACGTTACTGACCTGGAGGAAACACAAAGTGTGAAAGTAAAGCTAAAATGTATTACGTCTCAAATACTAATAGGATCAAAAAGGATCATATATATTACATATTTTAACCATGAGTACTGTTTTCAGCCCATTGTGAGTCATCAGCCAAACATACTGTACTTTGATGTTCAAAAAATATGTTGATGGTAGACACATTTATTTGCCTTTTGTTTATTAAGTAATGTAATTGTTTGATACTGCCGGTTAAGAAAGTATATTTGTTTTTTCAGTTCTGGTAACGACACTTATATTTCTCAGTGCACAATAAGAGAAAATATTTGAGTAATTATATTGGGAGCTCTGAAGCTGCTCATACATTACAAATGTTTGCTTGGTGTGTAGAATGAGCCCAGCGCTCCAGATGTCATAGTTTCAGGCTTGGGCTATGTATGTATTTTTCAGCTGTTACTATGATTCACTAGGTATAAGAAGAACAGAAATGCCCTTTTAAACATAAACAAAGTAAGGACATTTCGAAGATCCGTGAGCACAAAGCATGTCCAAAATGATACAACAGCTGTGAGAGAACAGTGAGGGAATCCTGAGTATGATTTTCATACTCTACATACCTGGTAAATCTAGAATGATTGAAAGTCAGAGTAATTTGTTTGAATTTGTTTGGTGTTTTAATGCATTCCACAGTCCATGTGAGACAGAAGTTAGTCTTAGATTTGGATGTTGACCTTGGTTTGCACAATTTTTGCCTTTAAATGTTTTTAATTTTACACTGACTCTCTTTGATTTATGTGCACAGACATGAAGTGGAAAATTGTACAGTGAAGTAAACGAACTTGATATTTTGAAGTGCATAATCACTTGGCTGATGAAAAGATGTGATACAGGTGCCTACTGTAGCTCTTTAAATACAAATCCTAAGAGTGAATAGGATTCCATTTAGGCATGCCACAGGTTCTGCTGTGCAAGATGCGATCAAGCTGTCTAATATTACAGGTCTGAGATCTGATTTACAAGTGCACTACACTTATCAGTTTTATCCCATCCCATTATGACATCTGTCCTGTTAGGGCCTGTGACTAACCTATTTCGAGGGTAGTTGATGGTCATACTGTATCAAGGAAAGCTGGAAGTTTCATAATGATTAATTAGTGAATACGGGCTGGCAAACAGCTGCAAGGCTGAGAGAAAAAGGGTCTACCACCAAAAACACTAAAATCAGTTTGAAAAAATCCTCAATTTGTTCCATTCCCAGGAACTATATATTCTATATTTTATAAGTATATATTGCTTATGTATTCAGGAAAATATTTTGAGGAAACTTTTCCACAAAAAATACACACTTTAAAAGCAGGGATAACTTAAATAAGTGACCGACTAAAGCTACACAGTAAACATAACAAAATTCCTAAAATTAGTAGTTGATTTTTTTTTTCTACTGTAGGCTGGTAAAGAATTCTCAATGAAAGTGAATGCAAAGAGAGTGAGAGAATTAAAACATTTCATTTGTTTGCCTATCTAAATGGATTGCAGCCACATATTCTGACCTCACTTACTCCAGCTGTGTGGAAATATGCACTGTACAGTATGTTAGCATAAAGTAGACTGACATTAACTGAAATGTTAATCAAATTTCAGTGGTTTCTTGCTAATTCTTTATGCCCCGCTTCCTCCTTGTACTTTTATAAATGAAATGTACAGTATTTAACTTTTTCAAATGTCATGGATGTCGGAGGGGCATGCCGTGGAATGACAAAGAGAGCAGAAGAGACCCTATGCGTAGTGGCAAAGGGGGCAATACGGAGGTTAGCCCGGGCTCAAGGGGGTCAGACGATGTCGGGTAGAAACCTATGCCCTTAGGCCATGGAAGAACCCTCAATGCTGAGCGAGAAGCAAAGGGAGACCCGGAAATATATAGCCCCACACAAGTATACACCGGAAGGACAAGAAAAGCACAGGGAAACTAGGAACAAGACAGAGAAGGCTGTCGATGTAGATGTAGAGGGCGTGACAGCAAAGAATGAATTACTGAATAATACATTTCTTTAACCTCTGAAACGTCATAAAACCACTCAAATGTCAAAAATGGCAACCTCACCTTTTCATATTAGGCTGATGTTATCTTTAAAGATAAATTATCAAAACAAATAAATATTAAAAAAATACATCTAAAAATGAGGGGCTTGATAAATAGACCACAAGAAGTTTCCAGGAATGAAGAGGAGACATAATTGTTTCATAGAGAAAAGACCTGCCATGATTTTCTAAGGAAGTATTTATTGAAAAGTATATACTGTATACATGAGTATGGTACACAATTACCATAGTTCGTTGTTACTGAATTGTACATCACTGTAAGCTTTATACTGTATCTTACAGAGAAGTTCAAGTAATAAACCATCTTTAAGTTTAACTCTCAAAAGTAAGCGATGTTGCTTGCTTAGGATAAGTAATAATCATTTTTTTATTTATTAAAATTGTATAGTTGATATCCATGCTCTGTGGAGTCAGACAGTGAAGATATGTTTAAAATTTAAGGTTAAGAACATTGTTTAAAATTTAGGGTTATTTTGGAAATCATTTGACACGGAATGTTTTAATTAAATTAAGAAATTGTGAATACATAAACTCTTTTAGGAACAGAAACGTCAGATTAATATTGCTTGCGATTTTTTAAATATATGCACAACTTTTTACACACCATTGAATTAAAAATTCAGTTTCATTTTCCCAAACATTTTAATATTTTAAAATGGGCAGACATTGAAACAAGAAGAAAATAGATATTGTTAAATTTGAACAAATATGTTATATTTTGTGTAGATGTAATGGAATAGCTTAATAAACTGCTCAAAATAAGTAATATTGAATACAATTTGACGTATACTGATGCATTTCTATGATGCATAGTGAAGTGATAAAGCACAAACTCTTCATGGATGTTCTGTATTTAATCTACAGTTCTCCAGAGACCATTTCTGCCTCAATTGGATGTCTTGCATTATCTTAAAGAACAAACAGTACAGGCCTGTTTGAGGGGTTGAATTCAACGTAAAGTTTTTAAAATTAAAATATATATAGTATATTCAATAGAAACAAGAGATGGATATGAATTCACTTATATACAAACAAAAAGCAATATGTCTCCATATTTTTACTAATGAAGTTAATGTATATCCAAGTACTTGTATGAATGAATATCCACAATAATGATACGATTTACTAAACAGCTCTAATCTAAATAAAGCAGTACAAGGTAGGTGTTGCTCACATAATTTAGATGGAGTCTAATGTGCTATTTAGAAAACTAATTAGCTTTAAAAAAAAATAAAAATTAGCATGCAAACACAGCACAGTAATATGGATGCTGGCAATACATAATACATAAATATGCCTTAAAGCTGTGAGCATGGACAGTGAGAGACTGATAGAAAAGAACATTTTAGCATCCACAGAAATAATTGTGTTTTTTCTTGATATTCAGAGCACTTTTTATTTTACTTTTATCATTTCTTCTAGCATCACACAACACAAATTTTGAATTTCTGTATTTGACTGTATAATCATACTTGTTAATCACATTAAATGTTAAAAACGTGTCAGAGCTCTGTGACTAGATTATGGTAATTGTCAGTATTTAATGCCCTGCTTTGCTTATGTACATATCATTAATGTAGTGCAAATTAGAGGGCAGCAGAATACACATCTATACAGTATCTATTGATTTCCCCTTATGAAATTCATTTTCCACAGGTTAATAGGAATAATAAGTAAAACATCACAGAAGTCCAAAGATATCTTTTTCAAATGGAATGTCCAGCAGAGTCTTTTAGTAAATCAAACCAACCGGTTCACTTTACAAACTATTTTATCATTCGAATATTTATATTGAAAATATTTTAAGGAGCTACTTGACATGTCAGCACAGCAGTTTTCTAAAATAGATCTCTGGCATTAAAACACATCTCTTAGAAAATAGCCTTCAGAACTATACCAACTGCTCTGGTCATTTTCCCAGCATTCAGAGTGACTAGATTGCTCAATCTATGATACATTTAAAAATCATATATATATATCATATATATATTCTGTTTATGTACAGTTTCAAAAGTCACATGGAGTATTTTTTCTTCTCTTTTTAATGACTGCTTTTCAGTATCTTCATCTTGTTCACATTTCAGCTTCCCACACAATCTATAGATTACTTACAGTATAAATAGCACAAGCCTGTATGCATGCCGTGATCTGTGCTACAGGCTGCTTATTTATACAGTATATGTTGTCATGTTCTTGTTACTGGAAGTGCATTGGAAAGACTACACGATAAAGCATGTGCTCAGATGGCAAACAGATTAGACAAAGTCAAGAAATGGGACGGTCATGATATGTGTTTTTTTATTTGTCTTGAAAATATAGTCAGTTTCAAAATCAGAGATCATGATCCAGTGCTTGTTTATGTTTTATATGCAGAAAACTCTATTTTTGATTATCCATCTCTGGTGGGAAAAGTAAAGTATTTCCTTTTGTAGGACACGTACATGGTTCCCCCCCCCCGACCCCTCCCATCCTCCTTCTCCCTCTTTTTCTATTTGTTTGTCCCTTGAAAGCAGCATGATGTTCAGAGACCAAGTCAGTCTGTGTATCTGGTTGTTGGCTGGCCTTTAGGACCACTGGCAGGAGCAGTCCGTGGGCTCCTGAATGGAGTAGTAGACCCAGGTGGAGTTCCCACTGCAGTACAGCTGCACTGAACGGCGCTGTAGCCCAATCTCTCGGCAGCACTTGCAGAATCTGGCATAGGTGTTGATATTGTAGTTGTATATGCTGGCTGAGGGACATTTCCCATCACAGGACACTATGTTAACCTAGAAAAGGGGAGTGTTGATGCATCACAAAAACTGTAACAGTGTAAAAAGTGGAAAACCCACATGAATTAAAAAAAACATGTCAGGTGATCTAATTTATTCAACGTTTAGTCTGTAACTTTTGTTAATCATATTGTACAATACTAAAATACTATTTCATTAAATACAATGATTATGCACAACTCCCAATAAGATACTGTAAAGATACTGTTTTGCTATGTCGCAATATTGTATAACACCACCAGAAATATGTTTTTTTATTACAGTATACAGAATGATTAGCAGTTATGCATAAAAATAATTAGAAAACATAATTTTATGTTAGATTTTGGTTATTAAAAATACACATAGCTGCTTTAAGAACATCTATTTAAAAGCAAATCAACACATAAAAACAAAACAAAAAAGAGGTCAGTAGTGATTTGAATGACTCAAAGAATGACTTACGGTCAAGAACTGTACATTATGGTGTAATAACTGAAGATCCTGCCTATACAACATTGTCAAAGGTGCTATTTGGGAATATTACGATACATGCCGTAATTAATAGTTACTGGAACAGGTTTATTTATCAACCATTTTAGCCATTTAATTACAAAGCAAAAAAATGATTGCACTTCTATAAATGATTTTATATACTTACAGGCCTGTTGCTTCTACAGTCATTTTTTCTAATTGTCATTCTGACTGTCACCTTTTGGCACGATTTCCCATCTTCTTTACCTGGGGTAGTGAAAGCATAAAAAAATGTCAAAGCCAGCTTTAAAAAACACATCTAAAAATTAAGCATTGCACTACATTTCTCTAAAAATAAAATCCCTTTTGTATGTATCCCCTGTTCAAGGGATTTGCGATCTTGGTCCTAATGCATGTGTTGTTTTTTTTTTGTTTGAGATAATATTTTGCTGAGAAACAGGAAACTTTTAATTCAAATGCTTGATAATCAGTGCAGCTCTGCTTCACACAGATTCAATCACAGTCATTGAAAGGAACTTCTGACTGCAGTTAATTACAGTGATCCCCAGACACTGGAGAATTCCTCTGTGCTGAAATACATAGCCAATTACTAATGAGTACTGCTACATTGGCTGATCTGGACTAATTTTTCCTTTAGAAGAATGTAATGTGGGGATAGATAGAAGTATTAGCACAGTATCGCAGAGTGGTCTCTCAAGCACCAAGATTGACAACTCCTCTATTGAAATTTATACTGAAGTGTTAATGAAAAAGTTCAACAGGTGCCTTCAGTTTAATAATTTGTACAATTATTGGTAATATTATTTATTTTAGCCTCCCAACAAAACTGCCCACAATAATCTTGGGATATTTTTCTCTTTACTGGTTTATTTGGCAAGCTGTTGAATCCACAGAGACAGCATCAGCCAGTCTGTAATGTGTGACCACCTACAGAGTAAGTGGTAGCATGGCAACAATGGCTCATGTTCAAACCAGTCAAGATAAACTGGAAGTTGGAGCAATCCAAGAGAGTTTTTTGTAGCAGTCTCACATTGTTCTCACTGATAATGAGTTAACTCATCGTAGAGGTGATTTGATTTCTTTGAAATGGGATATTGCCTGGTTTGAGCATACGTTTAATGTAGTAGTACAGTAGCCAGTGGCTGTACCCTGCACAACAGCAAGTGTCTTGCTGGTTACTGGACACTGATGTACATGTTACATTGCTCTTTTGACAGAACATTGGTATTAGTTTTCCTTTCAAAATGGTACCTTTGGATGAGTGTTTAGACATCTTGAAACATTTTTCATTACTGAAGAATACTGATGCTACCAAGATTTCTGTCTGAGAATATATTTCTCCTCATTGCATCCTGCCACTTACAGTATGTACCTTGGGAACAGTGCTGGACTCTCAGGACATTATGTTTTCACTATAATAATGTGACACACAACCCGTGAGGTTAAAATCTTCATGTGTGCCGGAAATTATTTCACAACCAGTAATTTATTAATCATTCATACAACCAGCATCTCTGTATTTGGATTCTACAATATTAACTTCTGGATTAAATAATATTGGCATTGTTTGATAATTAAATGTTTAATCTTTGCCTAGTCACTTGTACAGTCATGCAAGAATACAGCATTGGCAACAAAGCTCCAGCTGGTGTTTTTATAACCCTTTGAGCCACCAGTGACCACTCCCTGAATGTCTCCAGAGTTGTATGTGTAGCCCAATAAAACAACTCATTTCACTAAGCAACAAAACATTCCTGTTTCATTACAGTAAGCATGCTGTGAGCTCTGAATGCCACACTTGAATGCCAAATTCCATTTGAGAAAAGAAAGGCAATTATTTAAAATATCCCTAAATTATCTGCAGGAATTTCAGGGAAGAAATTGACTTTAAACATTTTATTTTAAATGCTTAATATATTTTAAGTTATTATTTTAAACAAACTTCAAATTTCATTAAAAATAAACACAAAAGAGGTAAAAAAAAGAATTTGAAAAAGTTACAAAACTGATTTATTATTTTACTTTTTAAATAATTATTTTAATAATGAAGAACTGAATGTTAAAGGTGAAGGAGGTGCAGGAATACTTGGGAGGCATCAATGCCTCAAATACATCATATAGCAGAAAGAATACTGACCTCATAAATGCTTGAAATTTAGCCTGTATCTTGTAACTCTTTACTTAATCTCTTAATCTCTGATTTTTAGTTGAACTAAATACTGTGTAATGTCCTGCTTAGAAATGTTTATGTTTCTACATTTGTCCTTATATTTAAAATAGTTGGAAGGTAAATAACAACAGAAGAAAAAGATCATTTTCAAAGCAACACTCAATTCATAAACACAATAAGGGAAATATTCTAATATTGTTTTAGAAAATGTTTGGGTAATCTGGCATGAAGATGTCCTGTTATTTATAACATGGAACTAAGATCTCATCAATAAATGTGTTCCTTACAATATATTCTTTCACTTAATTAAAACCTGATTTTGGTGTATTAGAGACATGCTTTAAGGATTGAATTATTTGAATTTTTCAGTTATTAAGGAACTTGTGCCATATCACCCAAAGACTTTCCAGAGGTAACCCACTAACTTTAACACAAGACTACAAGATTAGTTTCTAATGAACTTGAAGACACACAAACACTAGTTAAACATGTGACATAAACATGCAGCAAAAACTAGGTGCTTACTAACTGGCCACTACCAACAGTACATTGTTGGCAAACAACAATGCACTGCCCTGACAGTGCAAAGTGGGGAAACATTCAGCTGTGTCATGTATGTTACCAGCACAGATTTAAAGAAGAAAAATAATTTACCAAAAAGCCAAAACATCATTTAAGCTGTTTGAGTCCTGAATTATCTTTTCGGGAGTACATTGTTGGAAATCAACAATGATGCTGGCTAGCCTTACGGTCACTGGTTTGTTCCAGTAAACTGGTACCTTTGTCACAGTTAGTGCTAACTGTAGGAGGCACTGGCCTAACAGGGAATGGAAACAGGGAAAATCCAGTACCTGGTGAGATTGTTACATATTGGTCAGGTTGCAGCTTTACACAATAATTCAGTGTAACATTAAGTAAAGGCACTTTTATGCTACTCAACAGTAACAAAAACAGAAAGAAATCAGTTTCTTTTTTATTTCTTGGAGCTGATGCATAGATTACAAGGAGCTAGAAATTCATAAAGCAACACTCGATGAAGACGGAATGTTTACTTACAAGGAAGAGAAAACACAATTGGTCTTTGAAGGTGTTAATGACCACACACAGAAGAGTGGGCTGCTGGATCTTGAAACTGGACTGTAATTGTTTTTAGCTTGTTATGTTTGTTATCGAAAAAGGGCTCTCCAAACCCCACTCCTGAAGAGCCCTAGTCCAGCAGGTTTCAAATGTAGTCATCAAATCATAAATTTTAAAAGACTTTGGGACAGTTTAAGTTTTACCTCTTTAGCAGGTTAAAATAAGCAGATGTACAGATCACTTGAAAAAACAACATACAGTATACTGCACATGGATAAGAGTCAAGGAAACCTCATGAATAATTGTTTTATTAGATTCAGGCTCTGCAGCAAGTGTTGGAGATTGTGATTATCTATGCTCAGCTCTTTTATTATGAGAGTGAGAGATTTAATTTAATAATAAAACTAAACTACCTGAAACTTAACAATGTTTCACTTGCAATATTAATTCATATAAGTTCTTTCCTTATTTGGACTTCATATATTTGGAGGAATGGCATATATTTTGCTATTATTATTGGCTATATGTTATTGATTTAATTTCTATAAATTACGGTGTCTGAATGCTGTTTGTGGAGTTCTACTTGGCATGATTATTAATTTACAGTAGTATATGACACGTTTAAAGTTTTATTAATTTGTGAAAGGTTTGGCAAATCATTTTATATGGTGTTTTGCTATTTTAACACACTGATTTGAAGCCTCTTTCATTTCACTGCACAGTACTTAAGAACCTGTGAGAGAGTCTTGAATTGAGCCAAGAGTGCTTCTTTTAATACCATGATGTTTTAAATGTTTGCTTGCCATTGTTTGATACAGTATAAACCTTTGCAGAAACATTCATGACATGAATACCTGTGATTTGGCCAGGCCTTATATTTCTGAAAAAAAGCTATTTCTAACAAACCTTTTATTCTACTCCATCCATAAATGTTGATCCTTTTGTCAAGTTATAATTACCAGTAGTGTAATCGGAGAATTGCTTGGAATTTATGTAGTTCTGGAGTTAATTGCCTTTCTTTCTTTAATTATTGCATCACATACATAAAAGCATGTTTAGAATGCCCAAATGCTTAAATGTTAAACGTATATTAAGAGAAAAATTTGATCATGTTTAAAAGTTATAAAAGAGATGGAGCAATTAAAAGGTGCATAATGGCATTTATAAAGAATGAAACTGAAAATCAAAGAAAGTATTAATTTAAAGAAAGTAGTAAACATTTTGGGAAAAAGACTGACTTACAAAAACAACTTTTTGTTAAATAAAAGAGCAGGAAACCTTCAAGTTCATCTCAGATGTCTCTTGAAAATGAGGCTTTAATATCTTTTACCCCATAATGCAGATGCCTTGTGTTTTCCAATTACTATTACAGGGACTGTACCATAAAATAAACATTGCTCAAACATTCTTGGAAACAGGTTAAAACACTTTGTCGCACAATTCAGTGTACAGGAAGCAGGAAGGCTACAAGTCTGCACTACGACATGATCTCTACTATGTTTAGCAGGAAGGTGTTTTTCTTGTGTACTCACAGCTCTTACAGCAGCCATCCATGTAACTTACAACTGTTCCACCAATCTAGGATGAGATGGCAGTAAGTGTCATTTCATAGGTTAATACAAAGCATGTCACCATACCAATACAAACTAAACAACATAAAAATAAAAACAGAGGGAAATAATATTCTGTACGATCCTAAGATTTAAATATTCAGATAATAAAAAGTAGCATTCTTTTTTGCATGCTATTACAGCAGATAACACATCATTTATGTATGTAGGTATAATTTGCCTTTATGCCGGCATTGTAGTTTTAGATGTAAAATGTTGCTTTTAGAATATTGATGATTCATTTCAAAGTGAGTGTCTCGAGCTTCTTCCCAGCAGGCCTGTTTGGGATAGCTTTACACTGACCTTCATACACTCTGTCTCGTTAAAAGGAGGACAGCTGATGGAATAAGTGATGAGGGTAGGTCCTGATAATGTGTCTGAGCAGTCATACTTCATGCAATTGGACACCCATGTCTTCCCAGGCTGAAAGAAATAAGGAAGGTGGTTTACTGATAATATCACTAGATCTGTTGATCACAAACAAACTCTAAAGGACACATAGTTCATATTACTAGATGCTGAATACAATTTTATACAATGCATGACTTAATGCTTCCCTTAGGAATAACTGCAACACTTTTTGCCTTTTTTGTGCTGCTCAGCAGTGCAGTATGGTGTTGTAAGCAGTAGCATCATGTTGAAGCCACGTTGAAGCCACGACTAGTAAAGTAGTTAAGTAAAATTAATCAGTCACTGGCTGTTGACCCACCTTTGAAAATGCGTCATTTTTAAATAAAATATTAAAGACATGTTAGGATACTTATATTAAATGGAAAGTCCGTTATGTTTTGGGTTGTTCCAACTTTTTGGTATAGGTTTCATTGAAATAAAAAAAAATGTTCCTCTTCCTTACCTTGTACATTGCAACAGAGCCATTATCCATGTGATAAATACAGGAGATATTCTTACAAACCCCACAGCATGTCGTTAAGTCTTTAGGTGGCAAGTAAACTTGATTCTGTATAAAAAAGACAATCAGACAAAAACATTGTTGTCTCATAGTATTATTGGGACACAGACTGAACATGGAGATATGGTTAAAGCTCTGCACCTTAACCAGTGGTCTGTGTGTGCAGCCATCATGTGTACAGTTGGGCAGCTGTGGACTGATTAAAAAAAAGAGTTTTGCCATGTACTTTTTTTCTTTTTGAATGGGGATTTTCCAAGAACTCCTGTAACTCCTAAACACAGGGGTGTATTCTTAACTAATTCACTGGTTAGAATATGCAGGTTTCTATTCTAGGTTTAATGGTTGATCCAGCCAGTTATAAATGAATGCACTTGTAGGTGTGATATAGCTGTGTCTTATCCAGAAAAGATCTTCAACTCTAGGTCTTCTTAGCACTGCACAGATCGGGGTATGTTCTGATTTAACTGCTAAGGACTGTGTATGTGTATATATGGGCTATATAAGTGGCTTGTGGGCTGATGCCAAAGTCAGGCACTTTGTGAACTGCCTTGTCTGCCTTCAGTGTTTGACCAAATTTTCCATAAAGAAAGGTATATGGTGAGACAGGACTTAGCTATGGATGTAATTGATTAATAAATTTCTCTTTGGTGTCAGGATCCTTCTGTCAACATCTTCAACCACAACAGGATAAAAAATGACCCGACAATGCTAAATCCATGTTCAGTACTGCAAACTTAGTTGTGAAAAACTGACTAGAAGTGAATGGTTCTCTTTTAAAACTGCTTCTGGACCAATGTGATGCAGTTGAACACACAGTGTGTTTCTTTGGGATGTGTCCAATATGCTTTGAACACTTCTGAAACTACCCGAAGAAAACCACAGGATTATACTTTGAATTCTATCCACAGTAGCTTCTCAAAGTGTCTGGGCATTTCAACAAGAGCTTGAGCTTGGCATCTACCCAGAACATATATACTGTATGTAATATATATGAATATACCAGAGTATTGCCTTCCATATCTTGTATTAGAGGCTTTATTGCACCCCCAGACAATGAAAAACACTTTAATATTTTTATTATTGGTATACTCGTTATACTATAGTATAATCTATAATTATACTATAGTATAATCTATAATTATACTATAGTATAACCTATAACTATACTATAGCATCGTACAGTATAACAGTATAGTACACTTTAATGTTATCAAAGCAGAAAAGAATAAAAAAATACCTAAAAAGCACACTGATGAAAGCTCTTCTGACTGGAATCTACTGCAGTATTGTATTGTTTGAGTAATTTTTGTGTGATTGGGTCTTACTGGTTGACACTGGGCTGAGCAGTTGGTGCTGCTGGCTCTGATCCTATAGTACTGTGTCAGGGGATCCAGGCTGTAGGTGCACTGTGTGGTGTAGCAGATGCCTTCGCTCGTGTGCTCCACCAGAGTCTGCCCAGGCCTCATGACTCCCCGCTCCCCGTCCACACACACGGACTCCCTCTCTGGACACATACACAGTACAAAAACAGGTAAGGAAACACAAGCCGGGGACAGCACAGCGGCCACACAGAGTCACACATAAACAGCCAAGTGGAAGGATAGCCTGCCGTGCCATTGTGAAGGACGATGTAAAGGAAAAACCAGTAATACCCTCAGTTTTCTTGTCTTTAGTATTTGTTTATGTTTAAATCACGAAAACAGTTACTTCAGTTGAGGAAATCATTCGGGGTAAATTAATTAAACAGTGCATTATAATGAGAATGATCAATGAAATTATATTGGAAAACTAAACTGAAAAAATCATCTTTATGTGCCCAGGGATTCCAGCTTGTGTACTTACCACACTTATATTCAGTGCACCCACACTGGTTCTCAGGATCTGCGAGAAACTGGGTGTCAATTTGCATTGTTTCTCCCTTTTGAAATAAACACAGAAAATTAAGACGACAGTTGAGAAAGAATGAACTGGAAATACTTTGATTACTTTGAAATATACGTACCAGGGCACATTTCGGTTTAGGGATTGTGTCGCATGCACATTCTGGAAGATACAGAGAGACGATCAGTGATGAGTTTAGTTTTCACACACACACACTAAAAATAAAAACAGTTCATAGCAGCTTTACCACATGTGTTCAGTGGGCAGCACCTCTCTGGAGTCCAAACAGTAACCACTGACATCCCCAATGGGCATGTGAATGGTGGGCATCGATAGGGCTCACACACTGAAAATAAAAAAAACACACTCCTCTTGTTGGCGGGTTCATATACTCTTTTTTTCAGTCATAAATGAAAAAGACAAGAAAGAATTAAAACAGGAGAAAGCCTTTTGACAGATCTGGCTTTCTTTCTTGACTGCCAGTAGCTAATCTATCTGAGGATATAACAAGGATCTTGGGGTTTTGACTTCAGCAACATGGCTGGTCCCAAACTCCCAGAACCCTCCTGTTCTCATCCTTCAATGCACTTCCACCTTGTTTCCACTTTTTCAAACATTCTGCCTTCCATTATGGTATTTACTGTTGGTGCACACGTTTAGGACATGATGGACATGATTGATTCAATGGAGTTTAACAAAAGAGGTGGTGGGGGTACATGTTGCGTTCTCAGCAATTCCAGAATGAAGAGGCCCTCCTGATACTCTTCTTCTAGCCCTGGTTGTGAAGCAGAGGTTCACTCACTGCACTGGTACTCAGGGCAGCATCTGTCCGTGCTGTTGGCATCCACAGTGAACACCTCTCCCTGCTGGCAGGCCGGGATGGTGTCTGTGCAGGTGCCACACACTGTTCAAAAGCACAAACACACAAACCCCTTCACTTCAAACTGTGCTACCATTTTATAAATCACAGAGTGAGCTTGAAACAAGACAACACCAGAATGGTTACTCTGAGGAAGCCACCAAGATTATTATTTACAAATATCCACTGCTTTATATTTTGTGTATTGTTTTCTCTGATTTCAGGCAGTAACTTATATTCTACTGAAGACACTCTACCTGCTGTTTGCCAGTCCATTATCCTTTATCATGCTCACCAATGTTTTAATATACTGTAGTACTGCTGATCTATTTTTGCTAATATATGACAAGAGTGTATTAGAGCTTAATTAAAATTGTTTTTAATTTTAAAAGGCTTTTAGGCTAGCATTTGCTATTTCCATCCTGTTGTTAATCAAGCATTAAAGTTTATGGAACAGACCAAGTGTATCAGCTGGACAGAAATAACAACTGACTAAAAGGGGGTGACTGTAACTGTGACTCACTGCAAATGTAAGCCATACAGCAGCTACCGTCTGCACGCGTGGCGATCAGGGTCTGGTCCTCTCTGCACGTTGGAATGTCAGATTCACACCGATCAGGGTCACATTCTGACTCAGAAACAGAGCAGAAAGTAGTAAACAACAACAACAGTGGCAACTAGAGAGAGATTGAAGACCAGATCATTCAACCTCTTCATTTAAAAACTCCATCAAATGTAATTGCAGTATTTCTGGGTACACATTTTCTAGGAAAGGGCACTTCCATTATCTTTAGAGGGCAGTTAAATCCCCATAAAGCAGAACTGCAATCTTTAAGTCATATTACAATGCATCTTACCACATGTATATTCTGGACAACAGGAGTCCTCCCTGTAGTAGGACACTAGTCTTTCACCATATTTACATCCAGGAGTGTCATGGCTACACAGGGTGTGATTGCAAACTAAAAAGAGAAAAATGTTTCAGACATTTTTATGTACTTTATATACAATATATCCTTACGGTTGGTCCCTAGAATTCAGATATGAAACTCATTTTCAAGTGTTAGATATGTGTTTCTCCTCTGGATTTTCAGTAGGAAATGTTGTACAAAGGATGTGAAAGTGTGTTTTGTACTGAATTGAGTGAACAGATGAAGGCAGTTTCCCCAGTCACAGTAAAATCAAGTAAAATCATTTGTGCTTACATTATCTTATTAAGCATTAGCGTTGTTTTTACCCACAAATCCTCTAAAACATGCATTGGCTCACATTTTTAAGAACGGCAACACTACTGAAGCAAGGAAGCATTCATTTAATGCTAACACTGTGAATAAAAAGAACCATGGTTTTTCTGAACGTTCTGGAAACACTGCAACAAAGTCACTTTCACCACGTGCACAGACTTCAACTAGAGGACTGCCTAAGAGCAAGGACACTTACAGACTCATCCCGTATATCCTGTCCAGGGAGTTTTCTGTCCCCCTCTATCCCAGTGATTTTGGGCATGTACTGTACCTACCACAGGCTTTCTGGGGACAGCAGCTTTTGTCATCCGCCAGGCTGACAATGACCTCCCCTGTCTTCTTGCAGACGGGCCCTGGGATGTCAGTGCAGTCGTACTCCACTGGGATGATGGAGTCGTTATCACACTTGTACATGCAGCAGCCATCCTTTGAGGCCCTCCACACCTCTCCCGAGGCCCGGGGCGTGCCGAAACTGTCCGTGCAGGCTGGGACCAGGCACGTGCATGGAGGAGGGAACAACACCTTTACTCTCGTTACAATTGTTACATCCGGCGCCGGAGTTCCCCTGAGGTACCGCTGGCACGGTGCCTAGAGCCTACGAAATCTTTAGGGCCTACGAAGGAGGGTCACACAGACTGAATCAACATGCTTCTGGTCGACTTTAGTTGCTCCAAATCAATAATCATACGCTGTCTAGCAGCTGTTCTAGAAACTGGAAGTACCGAAGTGAGGGCCACTCGACTCGCTTCATCAATTACGTCATTTGGCATTGGAATAGTTTAAAGTGCATCATGTCAATTGACGTAATTCAATTGGCGTTTACCCCTCTATTTGCACAATTCGGAGTCAAAGTGCCTAGGGCCTACGCACACCAAAATCCGGCCCCGGTTACGTCTCACTGCTATGGTAGAGTTTGCGGGTTTATTTGCTTTGTTTGTGATGGTGATGATAATGCATATTAAAATAGCATTATCTTTGGCAAAAATTAGATTAAAATGATGTCTGGTTTCGTTTGTTATCAGAACATCAAAAATTGTGGGACTGAATACTAAAGTATTGCATTAAGATTAATGATACCCAGTATCAGCAGAGGAGAAGTACGGTATTTGTTAAATAATCATCTAGGATGTCACCTGGTAGATGTACTTTCAGATCAAAAGCATTCTGCCTTTTGAGGGAGACAGGTATGGAGTACAGTATAGTGTCCATATGAGGTGACAGTTTATTGGCTACTTCAGTGTTTTGTTGGGAAGTGGACCAGCCTATTCAGTGCTTGGTTACCTATAAATCCATAGGCAGTGCTGTCAATCCATTTTTCTTAAGTTGTAAAATTCTTTGTTCTTACAGGCAATTATATAAATGTATATAGAAGAGAGTCTAACATAATTGTCCTTTTTACTACATACAGGTCATTCCTAAGGTCAGCCAATGTAACACAAGATTTTTCTATAATTGACTGAACTGGAGCTTGCCAACACTAACCCATTTCCAGTCTAACTGACTACCTGCTATTGTCGGCCCAATGCTTACAGGTTACCTGGGTACTATAACGATATGACAAAAGGCTATGCCAATGAGGCCCAAAACTGTTGTGTTGTGTGTTGTGTTTGGGCAGGATTTGGACCAGTTAGTAAGCACACTGGGGTCCTGAGCTCTTACCACACTTCTCACTGGGAATGCAGAGGGCGGAGTAAGGCCGGTGGAGGACGGTCTCGTCTGGACACACACAGCCCTCCGTGAGTCCCGAGCATTCCTCTGGGTCAGAGTCAGACTCATGGCTTGGACACGTCTGTGCAGTACAGGCAGGCAAGCAGGCCTGGTATCGCAGCTCCGGGGGGCACATGAAAGCTAGATGTTCAAAAACACAATGATTGTAGTCATTTAAAAACCGTAATCCATATCTTGGATCTTGCTAGCCTTGTTCTTTTGCCTTGCTGTCGATAAAGTGGATGACTCACAGCAGTAGTCTGGGCTCCTCCATTCTATGCAGATATTGTACTTGTGGCAGGCAGCCACGTAAGCTGCCAGAGCTATGCATGGGCTCTTCACGTACTCGGCATCACGCACCCACACTTCGCAAAATACTGAAGGAGGAACCTGAAACAAAGCAGAAGGGGATTACCCACAGACGCACGAAACGTTACTGAGCAGCTGCTGTCCTTCTGATGGTCTTATAAGTCATATTAGTCTGCATTTGCGATGGTATACTGTACATTGAAGAGCATGGAGACTCGAATGTACTGTATGGCGGATCGGAGCGGATGCCTCACGGGTTAAACGTACGAAGGAGTGGCAGACGCTGAAGGTGTGGTTGCTGAGCATGGCCAGGCAGGCAGAGCAGTCGCTGGTGGAGCAGTTGACTTCCCGCCGCCGGTTCTGACCCATGAAGCTGGTCGTGTTCGGCACCTGCCAGCTGTCGATGAACAAAGTCGGGTCCTCGCTCTCAGCCACAGCGGTGCCGTTGGACATTGTTAGGTCGTTTGTAGGGTCGCCATCACAACAGCCTGTGGAAACATTGAAAACAAGATTTCATAGAACAGATTGTGTGAGGAGAAAAGAATGATTTTAATGGCTCTCATCGGTGGCAGACAATTAGCCTTTTGAGATAATATAGAAAGTTTAAGGATTCTTATTGAAAAAAATAATAAAATTAAAGTAAAGCTTAGATGAATACATTCTAATTGTCTGATGCAATCTAACTTGTAAGGCATTGTTATCAATGATTATTATCTGCCACTTAAAAGGATTATTTAAAGAGATTAAGCAGAACTAGGACAGAAAAAAAAGAAGAATGCTGATCAGAATGAAAAGAACAGCATAATACTGTATTTTAACAGTTTTGTCATCCAACTCAAAGAGCGGTTCAGTGAGAGTGTTAACATTCTGATACACACCACACAATCCCATGGTGCTCAGTTTGTTACTGGAGGTTTCAGTCTCGATGATCATCATTCCAGTGCTGTGGAACCACTGTATTTTTAGTCCTGTGGGTGTCCTAATTAAGTACATGTTTCCAGTGTCTAGAACTTCAAATCCATGCTTTTTAAATCGAGGTCTTGCATATCTTGAGTTGACATACAGCTGGAGGATAACACATACATTAAAATGACAATGGAATAGCACTTCTAAGAATTTAAGAAAGATTACAAATGCATGGAAGCCATTTAACTCTTTTAAAATACAGTACGTATAGTATTTGAAAAACAGCAATGCAATTTCATCCACTTGGTATTATTATTATAAGGTATTTTTTTAGCCTTTTAATTACTTTTATTTTTACTAAAGTGTTATTAATTGGGTTCTGTCTTAATGATTGATTGTTATTCATTTAATATATTTAGCCAGCAATTACTGTAGCAATATGGCTTAAACTAATTCCTGAATTACACAACTGGTATTAACAGAAACATAATAATAATAATAATAATAATAATAATAATAATAATAATAATTTATATTACATCCATATTTTACCACTAATGTTCTGTATTCTGTATTTAACAGCATTAACACATATACTGTACATACTTACCCTTCTCTGTAGTCGGTTAATCAGAACTTGGTGAGATTTATGTGTTATGTTTAGAGCTACCAAACATAAATTGGTGAAATTCCAAAGTACCTTTGATTAAAAAACAAGAAAACAAGTAAATAGTTTTATTGCTGAGATGTATGCTGTTGTTTAATGTTTTCCTGAAATAAACAAAAAAGGACCTATTCATTTATTGTAAATACAAAATTCTACCTAACATCGATATGTTGAAAAACAACATTATTAACCTGTCATGAACACTGTCATGAGAGACATGGTCTTAGTCAGCAATGTCCAATCCTGGTCACAAAGAACTAGAATATTTGCAGCTTTAAATTATCAAGATAGTTTTGAAAATCAGTTCTTCAACACAATTCTCAATCTGTTGATGAATTATTATGACATAGAAAACCTGCCAGTTGTTACCCATGATAGGGATAAAGGTTAAGAATCATTCTTCAAAAACTTACCGTTCAGACTTAGTACCTTCAGTGCTTCAGTGCCTTCTGGTTTTTAGATAAATGTTTAATTCATCTTTAACTAATTATTTTTCACTTATAAGAACATATATTTTTTTAACATATTTCTATAAGGTAAAACAACCAATTCATTCCAGGTACCTTACCCAATCCATCACACCATTAAACCAGTAAAAATAATCAACTGAGAGCTCATGTGGAATGAAAATATGGTAGCCCTGCACTAGTGGAGTACTAGACCCCTGTATTCAGGAAGGAAAAATAATTGTGATTGGAAATGGAAGATGAAGACTCACCGTGTCTGAGCTTTGACACTCCTGAACTTGAATGCTCACAGTTTCATTGGGAAGTTGCGTCACAATGTAGGAGGCTGCTTTATAGATTGCCACACTGTTGCCGTCAAAGGTAATAACATTTAGGTCAGGAAAGACAGAACATCGACCTAGGAAAAAAACAGTTGAGAGTGAAGGCAGTCTGTTCAAAAATAACATCCTTGGTTAGCTGTCTTTGTTTTACAGGATGAATATTAATTGAATTGTACTGACACGTGTTTGTGTTTTTGAAGGCTGACATTAGAAATACCAGGATTTGTGGCCCTGCATTCATTTACTGGCTTTATGGTCAAGATTGATTGTCTTCCATGAGCCAGGAAAGGTAAGACTGATAAGGCAAAAGTGAGATCTGCACGCTTTCTGGCAGTGTGAGCTGGTCTGGTCTTGGGAAATCGCAGGTTGTGTTTTGTGCAGTTTTATCATGATGAGATATCTTCCATGCTGTCACTTTGACTTTTTGTTCTGACACATCTGGGTCTCAGTGTGCTGGGATACTTTGCAGTTATTATTTTTTTCATCTCAGAGTTGAGGTGATGACACACCCTTGTTTGACTACTGTGCAGACATCAAGTGCACTCAAATTAATGACTCATATGAATGAATATCATGAAAGAGCTGTAAAATAGTAGTGAATTCTGGAGGATATCCATACTTCAAGTGGATCTTTCAGAGGGTGATTCACAGAGTCAGACACCTTTCTAAAGTCTGTTGTTTTCAATAAGCCTTTGGTGTGTATTTTAAAAATTACCATTTTTGAATTCACATTTAAAGTACAATAATTTTTTAGATGCTATCTTGGACGTTTGTGCAGATACATTCCCACTTGTTTAATCATTAAAACAGCTAAATGTGTAGTCTTTGCTTGTGTATTTTGCTGCTTTAGAGTCTGTAGGTAAAAAGTACTAAATCGGCTGTGGAGGTCATTGGTGTGTCTGTAAACTTACATGGACAGTCCCACTGTGGACAGCACTTGTCACCATTTACCAGGACGGCGAAACCCAACAGACCACAGTTAGGAGGGATGGCGTTGTTTGGGCAGTTCTGCGACTTGTTGAACAACATCAGTTGTCCATTCATGCAGACGTATTTTGTGCATTCATCAATAATCTCAGAATAGGGAGGCTGAGAACCAGTTAAAGAGTAAATATCAACAATTGTGTTAGTATATTGAACTATTCAGCAAATACAGACCAATGCAATAAATAAATAGCATTTGTTAATATATTTGGCTTTATACTGCTTCTTTTGAGAGATGGTCATCTGAATGTGTGGAAACATCCGAAAAGTGCATTTGAAACTGAGAACCAGATGCCCTTTTTTAAACAAAGAAATCTGGAACAAGGTACTCAGCTATGTTGTCAAAGCTGATACTCTGGCTTCTTTCATTAAATCGTTGAATGGGAATCCTTGGATCAATTTGCTTCTTGCAACAAAATGACCTAAATAATCTGAATGGCCTCATCTCATTGTATCCTTTCTTATTATGGCAGGCCAGACCATATTTTACCTGACCTGCCAATAGAGGTCGATTAAGTTATCTGTAAATAGTCTCAGTGGGTGATGATTACTAATGAATAATTTTTTTATTTCAATTTTTAATTTAATTATAAGTGAGGGTGTTTGTGAACATTCTCAAATGGATCTAGTTAATGTTTCAATCGTTATATAAAAGGAGTACACAGTTCTAGGGGTGGCTGAGTTTAGTACGGATGTGTTAGTTGGTGGAGTGGCCCGGCAATGCAGAAGCCTTCACAATTCTTCTCAAGGATTCATGAGCTTTCTTAATGTCCTCAGAACCTTTGAACCACCAAAATAATGCCAGAGCCTACTGTATCACACTTGTGAAATTTGAAAACACAGCATTTGTCATTTAAGCTGTTGTTATCCCAACTGTCCTTTTTTCACTACCTATATTCTTCTTTGCAATGAGGTGATTCAATTAACTAAGTCAGTTTTTTAATACAGATATTTTTTTAAAACTTGATTTTCTTAGCAGGGGTCAGCCTGGTGGTGCAGTGGCTACCATTGCTGGCTTATGGCCCTGGGTCCCTGGGTTCAGCTCTGGACCTGGGCTGCTATCTGTAGAGATCTTGAATGTTCTCCCTGGGTTTGAGGTTTCCTCCAGATGCTCCTGTTTCCTTCTACAGTCCACAGACATACATGGCTTCTGGGAAAACTGGCCCTCATGTGAGTGTATTTGTGTCTATCTGCCCTGTGATGGACTGGTGTCCTGTCTAGGGTCTATCCTGCCTTGCACCTCTTGCTTGCTTGTTAAGATTGGCTCTGGCTCCCCAGCAAACCTGAATTGGAGGAAGCAGTTAGAAAATGTGAGGATGGAAATATTGATTATAAACACTCAGAATCTATTTTGTTACAAACATAATAATGTAGCAGTTTTCTAATAGTCAGTGAAAGAATGACAAAACAAGGCTTGGCATAACACACATTGTCAAATACTGTACACAGCTATCACTGGGTTGTTATTATACTGTATGTAAAAGATTGTAAACTCACTGTGCACATCTTCGTAGAAACAGCTACAGTTGTGTGGTCAGTAGTTTGTGGTAACACTGATGGTGTCCCTGTGTCTTCTGTGGTGGTCCCTGGTTCTCTTGTTTGAGTTGACCAGTACTCAGTTTTATTGGTGCTTGGTGCTGTACTGGTTAAGGACAGCTTGGAGGTTGAAGCTATTATTGAAGCCGTTGTTTGTCCTGTTGTTGTGACCTGTGGAGATGATGTTATTAACATACCACTAGTGGGGATGCCTGTACCCAGAAATCCTTTCGAGGTAAGCAGGTGTGCATAAGATGTTGTTTTTAAGCTTTCAGCTGTTCCAGTAAGATTCGCGACTGCAGACGTTTTTTCAGTCATCAGAGCCTCGGTAGACTTGCTCATCGAAGTCGAAACAGCTTGCTGCGTTGTTTGGCTTTCACTTGTGACCGAAACCAAGGGCTGCTCGGTTGACTTAGGTGTAACAATAGCTGAGGGATGAGATGGTTCTGAACTGGCTACTGTTGTTAAGGTTTGTGTTGGAGTAGTGGCTTGTGTCAATTTTTCTGTTGGCTGTGCTGGAGTGGAAACAGCAGTCGGAATGGCAGAAGATCTAAGTGATGTGGTAGCAGTCCCCCAAGACAATGGTGCTATTGATGATGATTCTGTGACCCTCTCTGTGAATATTTTCATAGTTGTTGTCTCACTAGATGTTTCCTGTAAGGCTCCTGTAGACATGCTGAACTGTGTGGTTTCAGCCAGTGTTGTTCCCAAAGTAGACCTCTGGGTGGAAAATGTAGTTTTGGTAGCTCTGGTCATTGTGGGCATCTTCTCTGTAGATACTGTAGTCCTTCCAGTGGTACTTGGTGCCACTTGCGATAGAGAAGATACACTTGGTGATGTGGATACCATGCTTGTTGCAGATGATACAACTACACTTGGGGTACCCACAAGTGTACTAGTAGTTTCCAAAAATCGGGATGTGGTAGATTTTCCAAAAAGCTGAACTGTTGTCCTTTGACTTGTGAAAGGAGTAGTGGAAGCTTTCTGAGTTGTTGTAAATATCAAAGGTGCTTTGGTTTCAGTTGTGGCTGATGAATATGAATAAGGTTTACTTTCTGGAAGAGGTGTTTTATGAACTGTACTTTGTGAAGTATAGGGGAGTGCTGAGGTTTCACTTGTAGGCTGCAAAAGTGGTTGGGAAGTAGGGAGGCTTGTTGTTTGTAAGGTGAAGACGGATGGCTTCACTGAAGTAGCTGGAGACATTGCACTTACAGTCGTGCTGAAAGGAGGTTTTGATGATGTTGTCGTTGAAGGTGATTGGTACAGTACTGTTGTCCTTAATGTTGTCAGTTGAGATAAAGATCCAGGAGTTACTGTAGATTCAAGATATGTTGTGGTTTGTATAGTGCTGAGATGTGAAATGGCTGAGAGTGATGGTTGAGTTGTTGTTGTTTTTAAAGTGTATTCTGCTGAAGATGAATATGATGGAGTTGCTGAGCTTGTGTGTGTTCTGTGAATTGGTGTGGTGATTCTAGTTGTCAGAGGCGTAAATGTCATTGCTGTTTTGATAGGTTGTAAGGTGGTATGAGTGACTTCAATTGAGGATGGTGGGAAAACTGAAGTCTGTGATGTAGTGTCTATTTTATCTGTTGGATATGTTTGTAAAGTTGTTTTCTGCAGCTCAGTATGCATTGTTTTTGTGGATGTTCTTAAACTTTCCTTTGTAAGCACTGGGGTGGTACTTTTTGTGGTTGGTGCACCAGTAAATGATGTAGTTTTTTCAGTTGAAGCAATTGTTGTTGGTTGATCCATTTGTGTTGTACCTTCTAATTTAGGAGTTGACATTTTAGCTGTAGCAGATGTTGTCAGGCCTGCCAGGGGATGAGCTGTTGTTTTTGTTGAGGCACCAGGTGCTGTAAAGAATACTGATGTTGTTTCCCCTGTGACAGTAGAAAATGGGGATACACTGCTGTGTTGAATTGCACCCAATGATGTTGTTCCCCAAGACAACGTGGACACTGGGGCAGTTGAGGATGTATATAGAGCTCCATGTGTTTTAGATGTTTTCATTTCTGTAGTTAAGGGGTGTTCAGTAACTTTGGATGTTATCATAGGAGTATGTGGCTGCTTTGTTTTTTGTGTTATAGGGGAAATTATTTTTAGAGTTGTGAGGGGAGAAGCATGTGCTGTACTTGAAGATGTGAGTCTGGTATCTGTTTCAGGACTTAGTGAAGTGGTTCCAGGAGTAATTGGAGATTTGACTTCTGGGGTTGGAGCTTCTGTTGTTTTTACAGTTTCTGCTGGAGAGGAATGAACAGTGCTTTCTGGGGTCTTTGGTTGAGTTGCATGGGGAGAAGATGTTACTTCCACTAGTCTTGTAGTAGTTTCATTGCTCATGGTCATAGGTCCTGTAGTCACAGTAGTTGCCTCTGTAACATTAGATGTGTCTGCTTGGATAGTTGTAGTTGTGTACATGGGAGGCACTGTAACTTTACTTGTTGCTAATGTTAAGTCTGTCGCCTTGGAAGGTAGGGATAATGTTGTAGGCAAGCTGATGGTTTCTTTAGGACCTGATGACCAGGCTACTGTAGCAGGCAATTTGGAATCAGTGAGTGCTGTAAAGGAGGCTGTTGTCCTTTTAGAAGTTGCCGGTGCTGTACTGGTAGTGGAAAGCCAAAATGGTGCCATTGTAGATTCAGTACTTGTGCGCTCTGTGCTTTTAGTATACAAGGAGCTTGGCCTTGTTTTGAAGATACTTGTGCTAATTAGCCTCATAGTTGAGATCTCGGATGTTTTTTCAGTTGTTACAGATTCCAGGACTGCAGGACCAGCTGTGGACACTGATAGCTCAGTTGCTGTAGTTGTCAGGTTAAAAACTGCTGATGAAGAAGTCAGCTCAGCTTCATGTCCCGTAAAGTTTAGTGCGGTGGCTGTAGCACTTGGGAGAGCTGTTTGGGAAGTTATGCCTGGGGTTCGAAGGGTGCTCTTTGTTTCAGCTGTGGAGAGCTGAGTGAGAGTGTCCGTGTGGGATACTGAATGTGCTGTAGACAGGCTTGAACCCGGAGAACCAGTAGCATTAATGGACACAGAAGTGACAGCTGCAGGTGGTGATACAGTACTATAGGGAGTAATTGGCTCAATGGCAACTGTTGGCTTAATGCCTGAGGATAAATAATAAAACAACTGTTAGATAAGTTCTGTTATTTAAGAAAAAGAAAAAAGGGGGGACTAAACGCATTACTTGTGACAGAATTAAAATCCTAGCACCCGTGCTTTGGAATCTAGGATTATTGCTTAAAGCTTAATTAAACAGATGTTGGAATGAATATTTCAACTTTTAAGAAACATGATATTTTACAGTGGTGATGCAATATGCCATAGGATCAGAAAATAAGCCTAAGAGCACGTGCAAAGGGTGCTTTTGGTGTATCAGTGTCATGTTGATCTTTAACCCCCCTTAGAAACAGAATAGAGCATTCATTAAGCTCTTCATGTTTTCTTTTTAAAACATAAAAATCAAGTATTGTGGGCTAGACTAATAATTAATTTGCATTATGTCTGGTTTATAAAGTTTTGAATAGAACTCACCACATTAAATCTTGACCGAATTTTAATACTTCATTTTTTTTGCTTTAACTGTTTTACCAAAAGATGTATTCAATTTATATACTGTTAGAATGCAGATTTGTATAAGCTAAAGCATTTTAACAATCTTTTTCAGCAAACAAAAGCAAGGGAAGCAAGCTAAAGCTGGTAACTTACAATCTACCAAATGCACGCATCTTTGGGTGACTTCATCTAAAACCATGTCGTGTGGACACTGAGGGAGGCATCCTTCCACTCTACAGAGAAAGCCAAACAGCTCTGAGAACCAACTTGTACAGGATGCACACTGGAGTTTTAGTATCAGATTAAGCTTCCATGGTAAAATAAACTACACTTCTGAAAACCTACATAACATATTCCACTTTCATGACAAAAAATCTCTGTTTAGATCTAAAGTCTGTAGTTTAGAAACCTATACCAAAGATAAAGCAAGTTTCCCAAGCCAATGTCACATTTCATGTGGCCTTACTTTGGTATGGAGGCACAGGTCTGCCCTGTGGGGTCACTGCAGGTCTTAAAGCAGGCACTGGCACACGACTCATATCTCCACTGGCAAGGGGAATGAGAAGAAGCTCCATATTCGTTCTCTAAAAAAACAAGAAGTTTTAAAAATCTGTTTTCCAACAGATGACGTAAATTGTGGCTTACAAATGTACACTTGTTCATCCTTGGATATCATATGTTTTTACAGCTTCACATAGTTCCAAACTATAGCATTTGGGGCTTGGAGAGATTTTGGAAGGATTCGCATTAATTGTAGTATAAGTCCATATTTATACAATATATTTTATCAATATCATTGATATTTACAGTAAATAGCTACAGCGCATACATACCAAACATTCACTTTGAAGTGGCAAAAGCATGACAGGCCCTGGACTGTAAAGCTGTGCAGATGAGATATACAGAATTGTGTAGTACAGAATGCAGTAAACCAACAATAGTATACATTGCCCTCTGCTGGTACATTGACACCATGATGTGTAAATGACAAGATGCCTTTTTTAATGGAAATTCAATTTTATTTCCTTGGCTATCGATTAAATCGATTATACTGCTCATGTACATGGGCAGCATGGTAGCTCAGTGGTTAGCATTGCTGTATTGCAATGCAGGGGCCCTGGGTTCAGTTCCAGACCTTCCAGGCTTTCATGTGGGTTTCCTCCAACTATCCAACAACATGCTGGTAGGTTAATTAGCTTCCACCTCTAATGTGAGTAGGTCTGTGTCTGTGCCCTGCTATGATCTGGTGCCCCATTCAAGATGTATCCTGCCTTGTGCCCATTGCATTGTTGTCTTAAAGTTACAAATGCTCAAATAAGGGTTCGATCGTCTTTTGCTGTGTATTTTTTGAAGTAATGAACACTAACATAAACGTGGACAACAGTATCATTAACTGCAGACTTTCATTTGCAGATACTGCACATCTGGTATATACAGTGGTATATACAGTTTTTGGCAATGAACGGATTTCTATGTACAAAAATAGAATCTCTGCAAGTCATCTTCTGATTAAGCCGTTCTTATCATCAGTGTTGCAGATGACTTAATGTGTGGATGTTTTTTTTTTACCCTTAAAATATGTTGAGGTTGAACAATGAAAAAATAAATACATTGGGAAAAACACGTATTGATGTGTGGTATCTTGCATAACCAAGTTACTACGTGACTTTTTAAAATGCAGCTGGTTAATACCACATATACAGAATTTCTTCAGAAGAAGATAGTGAAAAATGACAGTAGGAGATGATAAAGTAACATGATTATTTCTGAGCTGCTTCAGTTCTAAGATTCAGAAGCAGTCCTTTAAGTACTGTATTGTACTGTATACTGTATCTGCGAAAATATACACTACATTCCGATTCTGCTCATATGAGCTACAGTACCTAAACGCTGTGGTACAATGTGCTCAGTGGTGTGAGGTTTCAAGGTTTTTAACATTAAAAGAGAAATTGTCACTTTTTTCAAACAGTATATAAAGGGAGCTCCATCACTGTGGAAAGGAAAAGGTAAAGGTTCATTCCATGTTGTAAGGTAAAGAAACATTTTGGCTGTGGAGCTTTCTGCAGATCTGAAGAAGGCTCCTCAGCCGAAACATTCTGTTCCTTTCAGCATGGAGGGAATCTTTACCTTTTCCTTTGCAATATATATACTTCTACTGCAGCTATATTTCAGTATAATATTGGAAGTAGAATGTGGGTATGTCTATATTTATAAAACTGTAGTTATACACTTAGATCTGAAAGGCTAAACATAAGACACAAGATTTACATTTTAATGATATAATCATCGTCATTACTGTATATAATACATTATATAGTAGTAAATATGTACAGTATTATGCACTGTGTTTGAGAAACTGAGATGTTTTATAAATTAAAAATGAACACTGAAATAACAGAGGGAGAGAATGGAATTTGTAAGTCTTATTGGAGAATGACTGTGCGTCTGGCTTGTGATGTGGTCACATGTTTCTTTTGGGATCCAATGAATTGCCACAATGAAGCACTTCATGCCTACTGTCCAGACTATCATGGAAGTGCCACTGTCTTGACCTACAGTTTAGTAAGAGTGACAGGGATTGCTGAAGATGCTGTTATTGTGCTACAATCTCTCATCTGGCCTTTGGGACAGTTTTTCCCCTCTTAGACCTTCTCTGATCTAATATGCCAGGCATTTACAACAGTCAGCAGGAAATCCAATCTGCTTTTGCCTCTGCACTCTGAAGCTGGTATAACTTTTCCATTAACTAAAACAAATGCTGCTATATTTTTAGACTCTGTAATTACCCTGCCTCAGCAGGCTGGCCTGCAGGAGTGTGTTGGGGAAAGATTTGAGTCCAGTGTTGCCTTGCTTATGAACCTCAGAAACCCGAGCCCTCGGATGTGGTGATTAATGAAATGCCTCATGATCATCTGATCTGATCCCACTTGCTGAGGTAAATTGTTTCAGTTTTCCACTCACATAGATAAGATTATTGGCATAAAAAGTCTGGAGAGCGAAGACTTTACACTTTAAATGGATTGTGTTGATGCCATATCACTTCAGTCCATAAACCATTTTTAAGCCAGTCTTTAGCCCTGCCCCTGCACAGATAAAAGAAAGGACAGAATTCTTCTCGGTGTCATGCTGGACAAAGGGGGGCCCAGCTTTGTTACTGAACACCCAGGCTGTAGCTGCTGCCACTGCATGCTGCCCCTTTGAGATCTCAACTTCCCTATGATTAAAGACATTTTCCAGTGGACATCAGGCACTTGCCATTGACAAAATCTGTCATTTTTTTGTAAGTTGGAGTGTGCCAGTCAACAGCTGCATCAGTCTGCCAGAACAGCGTAATGCAAAACATATCCACCCTCACAATGCAGCCATTAACCCACTCATTGATTGTTTTGTTAACAGAATGACTATGAAAGGAACAGCAGTGGTGACTTGACCTCAATGCAGTCGTTGTTCTGTGTCTTAAATGTCAAAGGGGTTTACTGTAATGTAACTTGAGGGAAATATATCTTCTCATTTATTGTTACAACTGTATATGAAATAATATGCATTTCTCTCCATTTCCAAAGTACTGTATGTATTAGTGACTCTTGATCTATTTTCTTTCAAAGATTGCTAAATAACTGTAAAGCATTAAATGTGAAAAAGGCCTCTAATACATACTATAAAAAGAGAAGAAAATGGATATAAACATAGTAATGTAAATGCATTAATAAAACATTTCATATTTTAATTTCAAGAACTCATTTTTATTCCAATTCTTTATTTTCCATTTATAGAAGAATTATTATAGAATTATTTATAGAAGACAGTCCCTGTAGTAGCAACTTAAGGCTGTTCATATATGAAACTGGGAAGAGAAGCCCAGGACCTATACAGTCCGATTGTTGAATAGGTCTGTTTAGAATTTCAGAGGTCACATTGCAATTGTTAATGATTTCAACTGTCTGCCATAACTCTTGTAGTTGGATCTTGATCTGCATGCAATCTTTTTCAGTCTTCATTCAAAAAAGGTTTGGCGAGGTTAAGGACAAGGACTGGACTTAATGGCACATTAATGTACAGTATACTGTATACCTATTATTTTCTTTCTTATTTAAACAGTTTAGGATCAGTCAACAATTTGCTAAGGGGTCACCATTCTAAATGATTAGCTTGATAGCGTGATAAAAGTAATCAGTGATAGAAAAGTACACTCTTCAGAAAGACCAAGCAATTCACAAGCCTGGTATCTAATAAGATAAGTTATTTTGATGAGATAACATTTTTAGTAAAATTCTTCTGTTCCTTTGTCTACTGAGGACAATACACTGCTTAAATATATATGTAAATTTATATATTTTAATATAAAGGATTCCTGTCTTAGTTTAATACAATTGTACCAACATTTAGTTATTTTAATAAAAGCACCATTTAATTTCCTATTGAACCCATTACTTGAAATATCAGCCACCTCACAGTGGAATATGCGCTGTCTGCTATCACACTGACCTGTGAGTTTAAACAGAGTTGCCTCTCGGAAGCCTGCAGAATGGTTGTACTTCATTAGGTGAAACCAGGACAACATGTAGTGAAGAAAGAAACCAGGCTTGATGTAGGACTCCAGAGAATCGTATCCACTAATCCAGGTATTTCTGTGAATGACAAACGTTGTCTCATCCTGAAATCGGTCGCTCTCTTCCCACTTGGTCAAGTGCAGGTGTCCACTGGGGTCCAATCGCAGAAAATAATTTGGCCTTTCTGCTGCTTCAAATGAAACTAGAGATGTGTCTGAAAAGAAATAAGAAGTAATGTATATAAATCTTGATATTAAGAAATAAATATAAACTAAAAATTATGCATGTCTCCTCTGGAGTGTTTGAACTATTTTCCATTGGCAAAAATAATACAATACCTTAAATGTCTTAATACAATTAAGGGGTAATTCAGGGATTAATCCCTTAATATCTAAGTATTCATTGTATCTTTAATTGCTTTCTAACATCACCCATGTTTACAGAATTAATATAAGAAAACTAGAAATGGTATAATCTTGTAAACATTAAGAAATTTTAAAAATACCACAAAAAGGGGAGGTTCACTTCAGTGTTTTTTTAAATGTTATATAATAAATGTTAGAATAATAACTCTGTATTATCAACATTGGAGTTAATATCTGTTCCATATACAGTATATATACTGTACACACCATAGAGGGATTAAAATGACAAATTTGGTATTGGAACCAATAGCAAATATTTACCACATGTACCGAGTTTATTCTTGGTTTGTAAATATATAAACCTTCTGTGTGAGTACAAATAAGTCAGATGCCAAAGTTAGTCATACTTTGTTAATAATCTATTCACTTAAATTTCTGTCTTTGTAGATCAAGAAGTGCCCACACTAGTCAAACTAGTGCTGCCTTAACTAAAGCATCAGAGTGTGGAACCACATTTAAAAAATCACACAGGTTGAGTGAAAGTGAGGGCACAGTGAGTACGCCTCTACTGTCCTCAGTAACATTTGTGTTTGGTATGAATGAAGATGTCGACAACGGCATTGCAACTGAAAGAGGAATTTTGTCTGAAGTTACAGCAGTGTCTAAGCTCTGCCATTGACAGCTTAAAGTCAGTCCTGTGCGGATATTTAACATGCTGGGTAATTCATGACATGCCTGGGCATGTCGCAAAGTGCTGAACTTTGAGTTCTGCCCTATAATATATAATACTGTATACACAGTACAACTATGGGCATTTTGTGTAATACATTTTGAATAGCCTTTTTTCTAAATGATATTTTGCATCAGTGATGTGCTGAACATTAATAAGTGGCCAGCTACAACAGGATGTACAGTAGTGTGTGTAATTTACTGGTAGCTGGAATGGGAAGATATGCTTACCATGCGGTCTGGCCCTGGACAGACCTGGGGTCATCATAAAATATCTGGTCAGTCCTGGGACAGTAGTCACACCCTTTTCCGGGAAAACAGAACCGCCTGACAGATTGGCTGCCAGCACTGTATCCTTCTCCTTATACGTGACTAACGTAAATGGGCCTTTTCCCAGAACTGCAGAGGAAATTAGTCAGTCATTAGTATTTAACATGCTTCTGTTCATACCTTTCTACTATAGTATACTGCTCAGATTTAGTGCAGTATAGTATATTTCACATAAATTGGTGAATGCAGTACAGTAGGATAGATTTCATTTTTAAATATATTTTGCTTTTTTAAAAAAAAATATTACGTTCTATAGATTAACATGCAACAGTTTAAACTGCTGGAATATAACATCATTGCTGAAACGTTTGGAAAAATATATATTATATCGTTCATCCATGTACATTGTGAATCCTTTTTAAAATGGCATTTTATACGCCTGCCTTTTCAGTATTTCCGTACATTGAACGGCAATTTATTAAACAAGCTTTGCTGTCAGTTCGAACATAATCAAATAGACATGTTGTGTTTTCCAATAAGAACGCATCTCACTTGGCCAACAACAGATTTATAAAAAATTGGAATGACTGAGTTTTAACGGCATCACAGCAGTTTAGGACAGTTCACTGTGGCACAAGACATTCCTAGTATTTTAAAAATAAATGTCTTGCGCCCTCTAGAGTTTGTTATTATTGTCAGTTTATGTCACTATTAATGATACAACTCTTTTCTAAAACATGCAACACACAAATCATTTTGAATGTGGAAATCACTACAGCTTTTGATACACTTACCTTTGTTGTAGAATTCACAGTCATAAGCTGTAAAACAAAGGTGAATATAATAAACAAAGATCATCTTTAAGCAATTTTTACAGTTGTTAGAAATATCGATTAAACATACTTTTAATAAAATTTGATTAGCTTTAAACAATATACTCTAAAACCTTTTTTAGAATATGTTAAACACACTTATGTACTCTTTATAATAGACTTGACCTGAAATATATTAGGCTCAGTATTGATCACTTAAATTACAATAGTTAAATCTACAGTTTCCTGAATTTCTTTTTACACACACTGTTCTAATTAAGCAACACCCCTAAAACATAGAAGAGGAAATAAGATATTTACACTACAAATAAAAGGAGAGAAACATTTTTTTCCCCATACACGAATTAACCTTGTTTGAAATGAAGAAAAACAATGCATTCCATAATCCTGGAGTATTTCTTACGCAACGACCAGCTGTGCAGTTTACGCTATAATTTGAAGAAGCGCATTTTGGGATCAATTCTTACGGCAGAGATTTGGTGAACGCCAGTCCACACTGATTCCCTGTTGACAGCAGCGATGTGCATACGCAGACACACTGGTGCAGAAGCACTCACAGTCTCCCCCACGATTACAGCTGCAAGTATCAGTCAGACAGTTCATATAAAACCAGGTGACATCAACCTGCAGGGCGTAATGGAGAGCAGGTATCACCTGATGTATCATTTCAGGATATTTTTTCAAGCCATAGTGGGGAAAAATATTTTTTCTTAATTTGTTTTGGAGGTCATAACATAATAATGCATGGAACTGAGTAGCATGCAACTAATATTTATAATTAATAAATGTTCCTTTTGAAGAATGTTATGCATGTTTTAGAGCCAAGCTGAGAAAATGGTGTTACATTGACATTAATCCTTATTCTTTGCTTGTTATCCCAGTATTATTTTGGACACTAATCAGATGTGTTTAAGTTTGGCTTTAGCTCAAATGTGTGCCCTCCTGAAAAATCCAACATCCTTAACAGCTGAACCAGCAGGGCAAACCCTACCCCCACACGCAGACACACTTGTTTTATAAGTGGGTGGTCTCTTGGATCAGAACTGAGGTTTGTCAGAAATAGCAGTACAGATATTGCAATGGAGCTGTTGTAAAAAGGTTTCCCTAATTAAGTGATTGGTTAATAAATCCATACGTATATGATAGTTATTTACTGAACTCCTGCAAGTTCTGTATTATCCAGACACCCCAAAAAAGAGCTGCAAAAATCTAGCTACAATGCAATTACATTTATTGTCTGTGTAGCAATGTAAAAAAAAATGTAAGGTTAAAACACTGGTGACCTTTTGTACGCCCAGTACGTGAACTTCTGTGGATCGTAAGCAGATCTAATGTGGCTCATCTGCTGGATTGTCCAGCTGGGGAGGATTGGTGGAGGAATGGTGACTTATTTACCATTTAGCCTTACATATTTTATGCTAAATATTTTGAAAATGAGTTAGTTCCCTCATTTTAATTGAAAATACATTATCATGTATATTATGGCAGCATACTGTGAAGAAAGCAAAATAATTTAATTATATTTTTTAATTAGATTTTAAATAAATTCTGCACATAATTTTAAAAACAATATAGTTAATACTTGTTCTATTAATTAGTTATCTGTCAGAGCTTAGTGGAGTGAAAATGTCTTATAAAGAGGGCAATACAATTACTGTTGAGTGCTATTGTTTGGTATTATGCCCAGTTCATAACTGAAACCTTCACAAATATGCATAAATATGTGCTGTAGAACTGCTCATTTTCTGCCAAAGCTTTGAAGACAATAGATGGTGCTACAGTAGCTATTGCTGCTAGCAGGTATGTCTGGACTCACCACATGGTGGCACACTTGGAAAACCTCGCTCAGTAATATCCCACACTCTCTCTTGGCAAAGGGCTCCCTGAGAGGACTCAGACTGCAGGGATGTCTGATATCCGGGCTGTTCACACACTGGGGGCACAACACAACACTCTCTCAGCAGTGCAAGGGCTTCATTTTTTTTTTAAACAATGAGGACACTTCCACAGAAAGGTAAAGAGAGCACCATGATTCAAAACTACAGTCACATTTTCTGAGGGAAAAGAATGTGGTTGATTTCATTATACATATGTGTATCATTAATATATTTATAAATTGTTTCTTTACATGTGTGGTAATTATGTTTAAAGTGTGCATCTGACTAGTGCAACAGTTGTGCAACCCTGCATAATAGGCCCTGTATAACCAACTGTATGGTTTAAATGTTGCACTAAAGTCAATTTTTATAATTCATCGGCAATATATATTGTAAAATCTTTATGGATTTTTATCTCATAAACAATATGCCGACAATATTATGCAATATTTCGTCCAGAAGAGAAAAACAGTGGTACTGCATAAAGTATATGATTGGGAAAAGATGAGAGCAGCTCTGGACAAAGTTTAAGCCACTGCTGTCCTTACCTCTGCAGCTGTCCAGCTGTTCCCAAACTCCTGCGGGGTTGCAGAATCAATGTTCTCTGGAGTCCTCATTTCATTCACTGTCTTCATGTCGAAATTCCCACACAAACCCGACAGTTTGCCCTTTCAGATAATTCATTTCCGTTACAATGTACTGTACTGTATGCTTTAAAGCAAGAGCCATTTTAGGCCATTTCTATTACTAATAGGAAATTGAGGTCTAATCACAAGGACACAACAAATGCAAATGATTGCTACCTTGACACAATATAATTTGAAATCTTATATATATATAGTATACTGTATATAAATATTAGTATGAAACATGAGTCATAATCAAATACATAAAAATACATTTTCATTAAAGTTCAGATACAGAAAATGCTATAACACACTAGTACCTTATCAGAATAAAAGAACATAAAACACTGACATTTCCAAGACTTTTAGGTTCCCATAAACTCCAGATGTGATGCTACTATGTACTAATAATCCCCAGAAGTGCTGAAAATGCAATTCCATTCCGTTTCAGTCTCGATCTCACAGGTGAATGAGATTTTTGTGAAAATGGGAAAATCACATGACCTCACTCAACATTCCTGAATTCCAACAATTTCTTATGGCATCACGAAGAAAGAGTAAATCAATGGAAGAATCGATGGAAAAACCTACAGCAAGGTACTACAAGTGTATAGTTCACTGTTGTGCCCATTGTATTACTGAAGTGAGTTAGTGCTAGTGCTAATGCTATTAACATATTCATTTAGAATAATTAAATTCCCTGCCCTGTCGAAGGGAAAAACATATTTTGATAATCATTTTCATTTCTTTTTTTGTTCTAGTTAATGTATGAAAATTAAGGATCACAGCCATTTTCCCCATGGGATAGTACAGTATGTTCTGTTTTGGAAAAGCTGTAAAACTGCAGGCCTCACCTGCCAGCGCGGACCAGCCTGAATGTGGATGGTTGTTCTTCTATCCCAGAGAACAGTGATATCTTCATCAGGGGCGTGCACAATTGTGAAATATCCAGCTTGCCATATGAACACATTTTGATGCTTGTCAATCAAACTTGAAGGGTTCTTTGCAGGAAAAAAATTGCAACACAGGTCATTGCTCTAAGCATGCATGAGTTCAACTTCTTAAACTCATTAGTTCCATCCAAATAATAACATGAAGCATATGTGCTGATTTATTTGAAAGTATAATTTTAACTTTTGCACAAAGGCAGTTTTGCATCTTAAATTCAAATCTGGTATAAAAATGTAAGTAACAAGCATGGTGTGCCAAAGAGCAATTAATGCAGAAAAAACAATGATTTCAAGATTATTACTATTGCTGCTGGGTGGTTATTGCTTCAAAAGCAAGCCGTTGTCTTTATCAACAGTTGAACATTCAAAGAAAAATAGACAATAAAATGTATTAATGTAGCAATAATGCTGCATACAGTACATAAGTTGTGAAAAGTCATTGTCTATATACTGTATCTGATAGCCATTGCAACTTACCGGTTTTCCACTGTCATTGTCAAACACAATGAAAGATTTTCCTACGTTGATTAATAAGGATTTCCTACAAATGACTCCACTGTCATAGCAGTCCACATTTTCTGCTGTTATAGTCATAGTTAAGTCTATACCACTCTGTAACAGAGAGAAAAAAAATCAATTAATTTACTAACTTATGCACTTTATAAGTTAAGTATGAAACTGAATAAGATAAAATTAAAGAGGGTTACTATACTCTGGTTCTTTGGGAGGTTTAGGATTCTAAATGAATGCAAATCAGTTCTGTAGTGTGTAACATAAGGAAATAATGACTCGTTACCAAATAGAGGGATAATAACATGCAAAGCACTCATCTTAGAAACCCTATAAATGAAGTTTTCTTTTGTTTCACACAGTAAGTAAGTAAAGTAAGTAAAACAAAGCTTTAGTGTTAGGTTCAATTAATCACATCACTGGGTGGTGTGGAGAGTGGGGGGCTGCTTTAATTAATGTAAAACCTTAGGAGCAGAATGTGTTGGGGGGTTTTGTTTGCTACACTTACCTTTAATAAATAGACTTTACAAGCACCAACGTAATCAAAGAGTAGTCCATCAAAGGTCCTGTAGTGGCGGTCTCCATAAGCTGTGCACATGGACGGACAGGGGTGGAAGTCGCATTGAAATGATCCGTGCTGGCAGACACTAAAAGATGCATTATTATGCTTTAAACCTTTGCCAGTATTATCTGATACAGAAGCTCAGCCTTTAACCAACTAATGCTAGAACTCCTGTCCTTTCTAATGGATCAGTAAAGACCCTCTTTTATAGTGAGGATGCAATTATCCACAAAAAAGTGCCTAGATGATTGCCAAATGTTGAATCACCACTTCATACATCATTAAGCTGTCATCCTTATCCTCTTTTGCTACTGGTGGAAGAATCTCTAAGATGAATGGAAAGAAGATTGCCTTCTCTTTGACAGTACTCACTATGAAACCATTTATCTCAGGAGCAAAAGTGAAATCCCTGGTATAACAGGATAATATAATGACTGTTTCTATAAACTAAGTGAGGCTAGAATCTTCTCCCCCACAAAGGAAACAATCCAAGTAAAGGGATCAGGTAACCAGGCTCACTGTGTGAGCAATCTACTGTCTTCTCAAACAGGGAATACATTTTAATTTTAAATTGCTGTTAAACATTTCCCTTAATTTAAAGATTGAAATTATTTATCGAATGGCATTTGAGATTTAGTTGTGCACTGAATTCCATAGCAGCATTCTATTTAACATTAGCAGTAAAATGTAATGGGGTTTTATAAATATTTTATTCTGTTTTGAGAAACAATGTTGGTTACCTTGAAGGGATTTAGGATTTTTGGTTAACAGCTGGAAAACAAGGATATGTAAAGATACATTTTCAGTTTATGAAACCTGAATACCAGAAGAATAGGCATCATGCCTCTAGAAGCTATTTTGTATGTGCAACAGATACTAACAGTGTATAACATACAGTGTAAAACAGTGTATATTAACAGATACAGACAAAATCCATTCATTTTGTTCAATGTATGTATTTGTCTTGAATTATTATTTATCAATAATATATTTTTAAGGATTTTTGAACAGTGATTGATCCTAGTACTAAGTACTTTAAGACTGGGTATATAGTACAGTACAGTATATATTATTCCAAGAACTGGAGCAGAAGGGCATTGGGTGACTTATTATACAGTGCGTTGGTGCAAGGGAAGATAAGAACATAAGGATAGTTGCAACCAAGAGCCATTTGGCATGTCTGGTTGTTAGTTGCTAATTGATCAAAGAATCAGTCACCACTGATCATCTGTTTTCTGAAAGAAGCCATTGTATCAGCTTCAGCATCAAGATGAGTGAGTTTGTTCCATACTCCTAAAAGCCTTTACAAGGGTAGCACCCGGTAAGAAGCACTTCTCCTTCAGTATAAGGAGCCACCAAGACTTCTCTTTACAGTATATAATCAAATCCACTTTCTTTTTGAAACATTTGTTACAAATGAGCAGCTGTGTTAGTGACAAACTTACCAGCTATGACATGGAGACATTACTTTATCTCCAGGATAATATTCCTTTCCTTTCCATAAACATGGGCAGGCAGCAGGCTCAAAACACTCGTCCCCATGTTTCAGAAGCCTGAGAAGTGACCACACACAAGTCAGCTTTTCATCTGCTGCGTTTTGAAGCAAAACACATGCCGAATGAGATTACAAATCAGGAATAAATTAGACATTGTGCAGAGCTTAAGAGCTTAAGTTTTTCATTATTCTCCTTTACCAGGTACGTTAATTGAGAGAAAATTCTCATTTGCACTGACTACTTGGAGACACATTTATACTGCAAAGCATTTAGTGGAGCAATCTGAGTGAAGCACTTTTCTCAAGGGCACAACAACATCACCACCTCCTGATCAGGACACTACCTTCTGCAGTGCAGAAAGCCATTTAACATACTTTTTTTCTCCCACCCCCTGCTACACACACATACATTGATACAAGATATCTTACATATATAATATATTGAATACATACATTGGCTGCTTGTTAATTTTTGCCCGTGGCCTTTTGTATATTTTTAAAGTTGAACAGTAATGAACAGTAACAGTATCAATAATATTATTATTAATTAATATTAAGAGTGGACTTGTGCAGGCATTTTTGCCAACCATTTGCTTGAATACAGATTTTGTTTGCTGACTGTGTATTCATCTTAATTTGTCTGCATCAGTGTCTCTCCCCTGTGGATGTGAACTTACACTTAAGTTCAAACACATTAAGAAACAGTGTGTGACTCTTTACATATGATGAATTAAAAACATAAAGGCAGAAAGAGATTTCCATAAAAAGGAAAAAAGGAACGTGCTGGACGCAAGTGAATTGATAATGAATTGCCTGGGTGTCACTGGTGTGTTAAGTGCAGCAGGGATGAGTTCAATGGACATACATTTATTTTACAACCCCAGGAGACAGACTTATTGCTCCATATTTTAAAGGGGATTTTTTTTTGCACATTTGCACCTCAGTATTTTCCACTTTAGTTACTGTAACTCTATTTACTAAATGGTATTTAAAAATAAAATACTTTGTCTAAAATGCTTCCAAGCCAGGATTTTGCTTGTCATCTCCATAATGTTTTAATTTTTCTTCTGCTATTACTGCTAACTACAACTAAGACATTAAAGAGCAGAGCTTTACAGTTGATTCAGGGTGAAAAAATGTACAAATTGAACAAAAAATCACTGGAATTTATTTCCATTCTATCATTCTGCCAGGAATCTGAATGTGTCTGAAAACTTGTGATGTTTTATTATTTGTAGTTATTTGTATTATTCATACAAGGTTAAGAGAAACTTAAGCAGGCAACATTTTTGGATGCATATGGCACATAAAAAATCCAAAACATGGAATAAAATACCTGAGAAAGCACAGTCTATGAAATAAATAGCCTTTGTCTGATATTCAGTTTTGTTTCCCTGACTGTTAAAGACATGTCAGATAAGAATCTTGTAATATTCAGGAGTGAAATATTCCCACTGCAGTGTTCACACACAATAAAGCGACACATTCACAGGGCTCAGAACAAACTGAGGGTTCATCTGCGTAATGTTACACCCCAGATAAAGTGGTGTTAACAGGTTTCTTTATTTGGAGGCCAAGAAACTGTATCAATTACTATGATCAAAGAATATATAACAATTCATCCTTCAGCCTTCATGCACAACTCATGAGTAAAATCGTATTGACATTTTTCTATTTTTTAATTAAAGTTCTGTTCAGTAAATCTGCTAAAAACAAAAACAAAATGATATACAGTACAGTTTAATTTGGGGGTTAGCAGCAATACCTGTGAATGAGAAAGATTCAGTTCAAGTTGTTATACTGTACTTCTGTGTTTGAAAGCACCATAATAGATAATTAATCTAAATAATTAAATTGGCATTTATTCCTTTACACATATTACTGCAAAGATCTTCTGAAGCATGTCAATTTCAAGAGAGCAGAAAAAAGCAGTTTATTGTATATAAACTTGATTCAATTTAAATTGAGGTTAACTTTCCAGTTGGTATTATTAAAAAGCATAAAAGGTTAAAACAGGTGAATCTATTATATTATGGCTAAAAATATAGGAAAACGGAAATAAAATGTACCTACTGTAAGTGCATCATCACATTTAATGCCATGAGAAAATGATGCATAAGCTACAACAATAAGAGAGCTGTCTGTAGGAAAACGGGTATCATATCTAATAACTTGCAGGTATTTTCTTCACCAGAGTGACATTTTAAAGCCCCCCCAACACACACCCACACATCCACCAAGCAGCTCAGTCACAGGTGATCATCTTTTAAAAAAAGAAGCATGAATATACACAAGGATTTAGCTAAAGTTTCATTACCCTGTAAGAAACATGCATAATAAAGCCTTACGGCAAGTGATTTCATAAGCTGAAAAGAAAATACCCTCTTTTCTATGTTGGGGCACGCTGCCACAATTAGAAATTAATTTAGCTAAAACGGCACATTTAATCACACGCTTGAGGAGTTTTTAAATGAGCAATAAAATTAACCATACTGTATATCCTTGTTTAAAATCTCTTTTTTTTGGCAGCTCATCACTCTGCATGGAATGTCACAATGTAGAAGTGCAGAAAAGATAGTACAGGACTAGCATTTGCTGGAAACGTGAAAAAAGTTGAGCCAAATGAGCTTGTAAAAAGGTTTCTGCCTGGGCATAGCACTCCCAAGACAGGACAAGCTTTTTATACTAGATAAATATTAGAAACCTAGTGCACTTGGCTTAATTTTGTCTCCTCAGTACTTACTGTAGAGTTGCTCTACATTTGCAAACACATGGACAAAACTGCATAGTACTGCATGATACAGTATATATCTTCCCAAAATTCTGATTTCATTACATTATCCTAAAAATGCTATAGTGTTGTGTCTTGAGGACCCACAGTGTAATGTATTGAGTTATCTAATTGAACAAGCCATTCCAGTGCCTATGGGCCCTGTATACTGCATACATTTAAGTCACACTTAAAATTAAATGGAATAATGATAATTTTTAGTGCCTCCAACGTACAATAAATAGTAAAAAAACACTCATTCAGAGTGCAAGCTGAGCTCTATGGGTCAAACGTTGCTAACTTGAATCAGAGCAATATCATCTGAGATTGTGAAACTGAGATTGTCCCAGGTTTCCAAAGCAATGGACCACAATTAGCTTCAGCACAGGGTGAGCTAGTAGAAATTTTAGTCAGTGACACTTCAGACGTCCCAGGTACCATTGATCTTGACATGGTAACACTGAGAGCCACATCAATCCTCCATTTGATATGAATTCTTTTTAGAATTCTGTGGCTTTTTGCATATTTAACAGTATTTTTTCATAGAGTTGCATTTTTAGTATGTGAAATGTACGTATTACTAAAATTCTGTAAAGCTGATTTATCACATATGCATTATGTTAACAGAGGAGCTTGAAAAGCTAAAGCAGAGATTCATGCATATACAGTACTGTACTACCAGCTCCCCCCAGAAAAATATTTCACGGAATAGATTTTCAGAAAATGCTTTTTGCATATCTGCCAACATCAACAGCATTCAAATGATGGATGGGCATTGTAAGAGCTATATTTGCCTTTTGTGTTCTTGAGAAGAGTATGCCTACTGTAGCTTATTGGAGTAGATATTGTAAAAACACTGTAAGATCAGTGTCACGAAATAACAATAATTAACGCAGTTTAAGGTCTAATCTGTACTGGAACTACTCAGCTATTTGATACAAGCTTCAGGATCTGGTTTTCATATGCAAATAAAGATGAATATCTCATGCCTCCCAAAAATACATCTATTATAATATAATATCCAATCTGTGAACCTGTACATGTTATATGATTTGTCTGGAGGATGTGGTGAAAGGGTAAAATGCAATTCATACTGTAGTTCTTTGAATTAAATGCACACCTTTGCTCTTGATGAAATTAAAATGTGCTGATGTTCTAAAAAGGTGCAGGAATTCTTTAAGCAGCTTACCTGCCACCTGATCCAATCAGCCACCTGTTTATCGCATAAATAAGAAAAGGTGCAATTTATAGAATGAGGAAAAAAACAGAAGTATTAGACCTGGATGAGTAAAATAAGTTCATTATGATTGGAATGCTTTGCTAATAAGAACAGTTCTATGCCAGACTTTCTCAAAGGAAAAGTAGTGAAATGTATTATTCTGTTTTGTAAAGGGAAAAGAGAACCTTCTGTATGTGTACTACTAAAAAAAAACATCTACAGATTAAATTTAATAAGAACAGTCTGAAACAAGCTTGCATTCCTTTCCAAAAAACAACTTTTAAGTTGTCTTATGACAATATTTAGTGTGTTTATGCATCATTCTAAATAACCCTGTAACTAATCACAAGTCCCAATTTGACAGATGGATAAAAAGCAAATTCAAATGAATATATTTGGAAATAAAACTGTATTAACATCATTTTTCAATACTTATTATAGGAATAAATGTGTCAAACAAACTATGAGCATTATTCCATCCTACTAGTAAGATTGTCTTTTGGCAAAGACTAATTTTTGGACTTAAACAAGTAACATTATTGTAAGTACAGCACATCAATTATTATTAGTTACAATTTAAAATTCTAATAAGTTGTTCTAGATGTGAGAGATTAAAACAATGTACAATTTTTTATATTTTGAAAAGGATGTTTGTTTTTTAATACTGATATACCTTATGAAAGCTTTATTGTAAATCAAATTTCTTACAAGAACTAAGATTCTTGTTTTGAAATTATTAAATCTGAGTCTTCTTTTATTCAGTCACTGATTGTTTTGTGCCAAGTTGACATATTGAGGAATTTTCCAGCTGGCCTATACTGTACAGTAGTAATTTGATATTCAAATTACAAAGTACTACAAGAGAAATATCAAACATTTTTTTCTGTTTGTTGATGTGTTTGGTATTTTCTGGTATGTTGGTCTAGATTTTAAATCTACTGTATTTCTTTAATTTAGTTTTATGATAACTACTTATATCCATTCATTCTTAGAAATGAATGTATGTGGTAGAAGGGGCACTACTCTCTGAATGAGACTCACATCTCTAAGTACACACACACAAGCCAAAGAAAGAAATTAACCTGATTGACATGACTTTGGAAAATTGGAACACTTAGAAAAAACCCTCATGAGCTCAAGGAGAGCTTGCAAACTCCAGTCGAATTGTGTCCCAGTATGGAATGCCCTTATTCATGGGTGTTGCCTGAAATGTAATTAACTGGAGCTGTTTAGTTAAAATAGTGGCAAGCAGCTTGAGGAAAGGCTATGTAAAAGTACTGTATGTATGCTAAGTAAATTGTTGGAAACAGAGACCTTGAAATAAGGCAATTGTTGAACACAAAACTAAATGAATAAACAAATTAGATAAAAGATTAAACAAGCAAAAATATCATTTAGGTCACCAATTACAGTAGCACTGAGGATTAAGAGCTCAGCTAGATTGAAAACCAGCAGACATAGTGCTTCTCCAGGGCCAAAGTGGGGAAACACTGCTTTAGGGGAGGGGGAAGGGGTGTCCAATTCTAGTCCTGGATGGCCAGTGTGATTGCAGTTTTTCTAGGTATCTTGAACAACTGAAGAGCTGGAAAGTGAAGTCAGTAATGAGGTACTACAAACCATTAAGCATTGAGTTGGAATGAAAACAGACACACTGGCCCTCCTGGACCACAACTGGACAGCCCTGTTCTAAGGTTTCAAGTCAAGGGTGAATTTGCCTGGTATTTATGCTATTTCCCTCCTTCCGTATTCGACAACAGCACCTGCATACTTGAGCTCATAAATACCCATGAAATAAATATCACACTAAAGATGTTGAAAATGTTTGATCAAAAAGCCACAACAAAGTCCCTCTTCATAAAAATAACATTAACCCTTCTGTCATTACTTCTAAAATGCTACAGATGAGGTGATTATTGACTGATGTCAACAAGTCCAATGAATTTGTTACTGTACATGTGATGAAAAAAACATTTTTGAAGATTTTTAATTTTCAAATGAAAAATGAAAACCTGTACAGTAGCTCCCAGCATTTCAATTTTATTGCCATAATCTTTGAAACATTAATTTACCACTGGTGATTAAATTGCCACAGGCATACAATCTTTTGTTTGAGAATTAATATTATAAGGCACCTGTTCTTTGTTCTCAGTCTAACACTGTTGTCTCTATTGCAATGTACAGTATTGAAAATCTATTAGGATGCATACTGTACAAGAGATTTAAAATAGATAAATAAAGCTTGTATGCACTAACCTAACGGATTCTTTAATTTATTTTTTTACAACAGGTGGGTCTCAAGTTGCTTTCTTTTCATCTTTTCACTACTGGAAATGAATAAAGCATGCTCCTCTGGAGCACCATTTCTTTGTGGTCAGCAGAAATAGAGGATGCCAAACAAGTTTATGACTCTAAGAGGAAGATTATCAAACACCTCATTAATTACTCAGGCAAGGAGGCTCCATATTGGCATGACATTTGTGAAAGCATTTAACTATAATAATAATAATAATTGCTACACTTATATAGGGCTTTCCTGGACACTCCACTCAAAGCACTTTACAGGTAATGGGGATCCCCTCCACCACCACCATTGTGCAGCCCCACCTGGATGATGCTACATCATCCAGGTGGTGAGCCAGAACACTCACCACACATCAGCTATTAGTGGGGAGGAGAGCAGAGTAATGAAGCCAATTCATAGACAGGGATTATTAGGAGGCCATGATTGATAAGGGCCAATGTGAAATTTTGGCCAGGACGCCGGGGTTACACCCCTACTCTTTACGAGAAACACCCTGGGATTTGTAATGACCACAGAGAGTCAGGACCTCGGTTTTACGTCTCATCCACTATGAAGTGGTTGCAGGCTTAGGATCTGTTTACCCTGCTCTCTAACGATAAGGTACTTACTGAAAGTGGATGAATGGATGGTCAAGAAGCCTGAATGGTGCTGAGGCCCAGAAACCCGCTCTCAATGACATTATTTATCATATCAGCAGAATGCCATGGCACCCGATTTATCAATATTCTCATCTCTTTGTTTCTGCCTGTAGCATAAGAGGTCTTTGTACCCATATTTACACCACGCTAGATGCCAAACTATCAAGTTGCAGAATTTATTAACTGTTCATGACAGCATATTTGAAATGTGACTTCTCTTTCCTGATTGTCAAGAGTATAATGCTTTTTCTATGGATGATACCTTTCTATTTAAGAGACCACGGAGTCATAAAACCGAAGGTTAATTCATGGAGGCCACCAAAATCCTCAAATTTTTATTTCAGTATTAGTTTTGGAAGTACTATCTCACTTTGGAAAGTATTCCTTTGATACTTTGTAGGATAGAGTTAAATGCTTCAAGTTTCTAAATAAAATCTCTTGCCTCTTTATATGGCTTTTTATTTTAGTAAAAACAAAAATTGTTATATGTTTATATAAATGGAGTGCATCCTATATTTGGAAGCTGTAGCACTGTGCATCATCAATCAAATACAGTAAGTGTCTAAGTCCAGCTCTTTAAATACTTGGAACAAATTCACCAAGAAAAAAGACACATCACTTTTATGGATGAACATTGGAAAGGCGATACTGTACAATGTTTATAATTGTGTTGGGAGCTAAAACTAACCATTTTTTTAAATATATATAACATATAACATATAACTATAAGAGCATGGATTAATAAAGTAACAGTAGCAAAACATTCAAGCAAAGCTTACAACAAAGCAAATTTATATATCCGAAAAGTATTTTCTAAATCAAATGTCTTAAGTTTAAAATTGCAAGTTTCCAAAGTAATGTATGCATATGGGTTAAGAAATGACAGAAAAATAGGAAATAGAATATTACAATAAAGGGAAATAATTGCATCTGGTCTGATATACAATGATATACAATGATAGTATACTTCTTATTTAACATTTTCTAACTTTGTGTTCAGTACTATTCATAAAATCATTGACTGTAAGAAGCTACATCTGTGTAAATGATAAATTATCACCAGTATAAAAATCTGTAACATATAACATAAAACTATTTTAAGATTTGCCAAGTAAATACAGCTTCTGAGCCTGTGTGTTTTATTTTATTTTAAAAGATTCAATTTGGTGTAGAAGTGACCGCAATCAACTATGTATGAGCACTTGATGGGTCTTCAAAAAGATTATATTAACCCGAGATACAATAATTGTGTGTTATTGTCCATTTTCATCCAGAAAGCATTGAAAGCCCTCAAGAGCAACAGTACCTTGGTCAGTAGAGAAACTAAAGCCATATTGCCCATCCCCCTTGGTTTACTACACTGTTGCTCATTGGGAATGCAAAAATAACTCACTAAAATAGGTCACGTTCCCTGTTTGCTTTCCCGAACAAGAGACATTCTGTCTGGAAGAACTGAAGAAAGGGGAAAACCGTGCATAAAAACGCAATGAGTTATGATCTGCCCTCAGATTCATTTCTTTATTAAGCCTTTACTTTAGTGAAAGAATCCTTCATTCAATGAAAAAGATACCACAGTAACAGATAACACAGTAAAGTATTCATATTACTTACTGTACAGTTGAAAATTAGATCAGCTGAAAATCTTTTAATTTTAAACTGTCCATGTAAAGAAACAAGGACATTTCCAAATCAGGATCACGATCTGTAGAATGTACTGTATAGTAAAATGATTACTGTAAGTATATGTGTAGAAATGTAAAAAGTCATGACAACGAAATACAAGACTTTCTAAAGTAAAATAAAGCAAAAATCCAGTTAACCATGCTACCATTAATAAAAGAGCACTCTGTACACATACTGTATAAGGTCAGATCTTGTGTAGTTAAGGGAGCAAACCGATGTCCAAGTATAGCACGTAATGTGTTTCATAGAGTTTGAAAAAATTGAGAAGAAAGGATTAACCATGGTTGGTTTGACAGTATTCAGGCATTTCCACACAAGATCAGCCAACGTAGCTACTGACCTTCCCAGACAAGCGTTGTTCATGGATCGCTGGTACTTGAACTGACAGCCCCATTTTTTCAATGAGCTCACATCAATGGTCCCTCTATACTCAGCATCCCTGTCTCAAACCAGCTTTGATCTTCCCCCACACTCAGGAGAGAAATGCCTACACTGCCTCTAGAAGCTCTTCTGAACCTGAGAGAATAGTTTTTGTCTCAGTAGCCCCTTGAAGTGTATCAGGAGAGGCTGCACGTACATGGGGATAGAAATATATACCGAAGCCCAACAAGTCAAGTGGCTTTGGAAGCCAGGGCAGTAAAGTTAAAAGGCAAACCAAAATCAGCCCTCCTTTCTGATACTGTTTTTTATAAGTGCAACTTTCAATTACAGATACTTATTTCATCAATCCGAACACATACTGTAGTAATTCAAGTCTCAGGGTTTTCACACTTGTGCTGGACCCTACAGCCCTGTAGCCCAGCTAAGCCCGTTTTCAAAGCTGTTTGTTTTGCCTACTGATAGCAACAATGACCAATGTAAAACTGCAAAAAGTCTTAGCTAATTAGAAAAAAGATCTGTGCAATGTACATATTTAATGACAGTCAGCCAAAATCATATTTCAAAATGGAGCTGTTAGTGACTGTACAGTATAATCAAAAGTAGACATTCAATTGCTTACCCTGGAGGGCAAACGCAGCCTGAAACACAGGGTTCATGTCCTGAGCAGGTGAGGTTCAGCAGGTAGCTCTCACAGGTCTGCTCGCAGGCTGTTCCTTCACTCAGGGCTGTGCCATCCAGAGAATCTCTACACCCAACATAGAGCTGGCCAGATGGGCAACTTTTTTCTGACGAATGAGATAAAATTACCTTGAGTGAGCTGTCGAGCATTGAAATAACAAATACACTATGACTGTACGATCGTAAAGGCTGCAAAAAATAATCAGGTTGATCTTTCAAAATATTTAACAGAGAATACTCACCGGTACTGGAACTTTGGGAGATCATTCTCCCATCTTTACAAACCCTAGAATGGTTAAGAAAATATGTGAGTGCATTACAAACATACTGTATACAGTGGCTAATCTTCCATTGACATGACTTTGACACACTGCAAGGTTGTGCAATACAGTAGAATCAAAAGCAACTCACTGCATTCCTGAAGAAGTCATTATAATATCTCCAGGCGCATATTCAACACCAAGGAAACTGCAGGAGCATTCATTTCTACAAAGAACAGTAAAAAATAATTCAGCATCCAGGAAGCTATAAGTCTTTAGAAACAATACATCAGTAAATTGTATATTTGAGAATTGGACTTTTATTTATTAAATATATACCTTACAATAATGTATTGCATAATGCCACTTGCTACAGTAGGTGAATCTACAGTATAGTAGTGGCAGTGCACAGAATGTAGCCAATTTAGAATGAATTGACTGGATGAGGACTTGATTTCTGACCCAATCTGAGAGATTGTCACTCTTGTTCAAAATACTAAAATGCCCATATACTGTATCAATACTTCTGTTCCCAAACATATCTCAGTACTCACCACAACCTATTATAACTTTAGTTTAACACTAACACAACAATAATCACATGACAGAAGTGACAATCTTTTTAAATAGGCAAAAGCCATATACTGTAGCAGTAAAAACAGTAGTAAGCCCCATATGGGAACATACACTGTACACTGAAATATCTGGCTTCTCTTGTTCATTGGAGAACTTAAAAAAGCTAAGGAAACTCAGTGACTTTGAGCTACTGAGGTCTGATTTATGATTGCCAGGAAACAACACTTGTTTTTTTTCCATTTCATTAAGCTATGTCATAGGTTTTCCCTTTTACATTTGTCATCAGTGCATTTTAAATCCTCTTTCATGCCTATTTGAAATTGGCTGTGTAAAAATGAAGTTCCAGTGCTAAACCCATTTCTCTGAAGGTAGAAAGGCTTTGTAACGTATAGCCTACTGCAACACATCAGTCTCTGTATTACAAATTCTTTCGTACTGGTTATCGGATATCTGTATCTGTATTCAGGGGTTCCTAGAGAATGAATGGATGGTTTCATCACAAATTCCTTCTAGAAACTCTAGCGCAAAGGAACACAAAACTCCTCCAAGATGTAAGAATGTGAAAAAAAAAATCGTAATGTGCAGATGTTTCAGAATTCTTTTAGAAAGTTTAAATTTCACATGTTCAGAGGTTCCCATTGAGTCTTCAAATGCATAGGACACTTTTCTTTAAATATAACAAATAGTTTTGTTCACTTGAGTGTGTTCTCATTCTATAAAAAAGGAAATTAACAAATGAAAGAACATTACAATATTTCATAAAGCACACTAAATAAATAATTCAGTTTCCGTCTTAAAGTACCCTAAAATAGTTTACTATATACTGTATATTGAACTATTAATATTTCTCCACATCCATATTTACATGGAATGCAACAGAATCTACTGTATTTTCAATTTCAAATCCAGCACACTGAAACATTTTTTATCATACTTAAGCAAGTCATTTTTTGTTACTACTTCTTAAGAAAGTGGAGAGTTGACAGTCGTTATGTAACACTACACCGAGGTAAAATGTTTGGTCAAAAGGAACTGTATGTGACTGAAGCAGCAGTGAAATACTGGAGAAATTCAGAATGTCTTCGGGGAGTTCTAGTTCCTCATTAAGAAACTATCTACGAGGTCAGTTAAATTTCTGCTTTCTCTAGTGAAAACACTAGTAAACATTATGAATGCCCAATATTTATAGATAACATGTAGACATGTAAAGGTCTAAATAATCCTCACACATACAGTACTGTCAGTTCCCTTGATGTTACAACAGTGAGGCCTATGAATGAAAGGTCATTCTGACTGAATGTGTAAGGTTATTGTTGCTGTATTGTGAGTTTCAAAAGTAATTCCCTGTTTACTGTGTGCCTTAATTTGTGTTTTAGTTCATTTATGTATGAAATATAAAAAGCAGTGCAGCAGTGGAGGCTAAGTTGGAAAAGCAAGTCAAGCACAAATACTCAGATTAAATAGCGCCAACAACACAAGTCTGTTAAAAAGCCGAGGAAAGGCGGTGTGGTAAAATTAAATAGCCATTCGTATTATCGAACCTTCCAGACCAGACATCACTTACTTCTGCACACACCGCAGGGCTTTGCTGCTGTAATATGTCCCTGGTGGGCAGGCACAGCCCTCCTCACACTCCTCCCCACAATGCTCTGGTGTAACCAAGGATGGGCAGCGCTGAGGGCAGGAGGACACACATGGCCCATATACCATTGTCTCTGGGCACTGAACAGCTACAAAGGACACAAAAACAAAATGAGTCATTTCTGCATTTAAAGAAAAGGATCAAAAGAAGATCATGGGTTGTAAAAAAATATTTTTTTCTTCGGTGTGCTTGATCACTATCAGTATTCCCTCCTGAATAGCACAACATTTGACGTGTCAAATATTTTTCAGATAAAAGCTAATATCGAAATGTAACTTGAACAGACACAGCTAAACAACCCAGATGGTGTTTTTTAAGGAACTGCTGTTTATTTGTTCTTTTACTGGAATTGCTTGTTCAGTGCTCAGATTTTGCTCTAAAGCCCAGAAAACACCTGTTTCGGTGTCGGCTATATAATTGGTCAGCTGTTTCTAGGATTCTCCAAGCAGGTGTGCACTACAGGGCCAGAGTCACTGAGGCTATGTGAATTGCACACAACAGCAACGGCTCAGACTTGTCACCTTGTGAAGTCAGTGAGAGCTTCATCATTCCCGCAAATGAAGCAAACTCTCCTGTGCACTTGCTATAAACACCCGCAATAACTGATATGTCGAGGAAGCTATGCACATTCTTTGTCTTTCTCATTCTTTTATGAGAAAGCAGTTTGTAGCAGTTATCCAAGCTGATTAGCCACCAGTGATTCCAAATTATGACAAGGAAATATCTGAAGTTTCCAAATATTATACAATAATTTCCATTATATATCTTTACAGGATTTGGCAATACTGCTTACGGTTTGGAACAGAAAACATTTTTTTTCTACAGAAGAATAAAACATACTCTACTTATACGAAGCTAAGATATTGCCAATATGGCCAGCTTCTATTGCTTAATCATTGTACCACTTTTATATACAGTAAATTAAAAAGTAAAAGGTTGACTTTTTGGACATACTGCAACATGCAAATGGCAGCAAATGGTATTTTTGAAGGGAAGAATTTTAAGGCCTTAATCCAGCTTTCTAATTATTTCATATTTAAAGAATGTAAAGGCTATGAAATACAGATGCAACTTTCAATCACACTTTAAAAAGAAAAAAAAAAACACATTTCTTGGTTTGCAGCCATACCATCACAGATAACTGCATGAACTCAAATGACTCACTGCACTCAGAGATGTGGGCTCTGAAGTCTATAATGACTCCATATTTTCTGCACTGCCGAGCGTAATGAGCCAGAACACCACACAGACACATCTTCCCACATTTGCAGGTGTCTGACTTGCACTGCTGGTGAAAGGGCACAGGACTCAGGTACTCATGACAGCGGGAAAACAGCTCCTGGTTCAGGATCTCACACTTCTCCACTGCATAGGAGGCTGACATGATATGCCAAGAGAGAAGAATAGTAGATTGTCACCAGTATAGTAGGTTAACATACTGTAGTCTGTCTCAAATTCACACGTCTCAGAGTTATTAGAATACCACTGTAGGCTTAGATGTCAACAGTTCAAAACTCTTATTTACATTAAGTACATTTATATAATTTATGTCCATTTTAATAGAAGTCTTCAACTGGAGTGTACATTCCTCCACATGTAAATAAAACAAGTGTATTTAATAAAGTAAATGAGTGACTTCCAAAAACACATCTCAGCTGAATACAGTGCGTCGTTGCAAAGGAAATGATTTAACTGGTGTGGTGTTTAATAATGTACAAAATGACATGGTAGCTTGGCCAAATGTTTATTTATGTACCTGATGTTGAACGTACCTTATTACTGAAGTACACGCAACCCTAACCAAACGAGCACTGGAGACTTCATCAGAGCCGCTGAACAACAGATGGCTTCTTGTTCTCTACAAACTGTTTGGCCAACCTAAGGGATGCTAATTGTGCTTCTACATTCGCTTGAAGAGCCTGGGGTAACTCTAGCAGGGTGCAGGTTGCGGAGGCTCACCTGCCTGCTGGTGAATGTCACATGGGTCAAGCTGGGGGATGCTATGTCCTGGAACACAGGCAGAGGAAAGCTTCCAGGAATTACCAAAGAGCTGAGGAGTGCTTTCAATCATCCCTGCTGGAGACCTGAAGGAGACAAGCCAGGCAGGCAACAGTTAGTGGTTATTATAAGCATTGCTGGGGAAAGGCTGGCAGATGTAGTCATTCACACCAAGCTTACATACAGTATAAGAGAGTAACAGTTGTACATGGAAATTGCAATAAGACTAACGAGTAAGATACGGTTCTGCAGTAAGTAAATCAAGAGTAAGAAAGCAGAGGTGCAAATGTTTAAAAAAAAATCAATTAAGACAATATAATGAGAAATAAAGCAACTTTGTAATGTGCTTACAAACACAGGTCTGTTCAGTATTATAAGAGCAAACAGCAGTAAAGGATGAACTAGCAACAGCACTAATAGATACAAATAAAACATAGTGTGTTTATTTAGATTTTAAGAATTCATTTGTTAAAAGATTGTTTTTTTTTAAATTGTGCTTCCTAATCTAAATAAATTATCTGGATGTTAGTATGGTTAATAAGTTTGTCACTTTTGTAGATGATTAAAATATAGGAGGATTACTAAACATTGTACAAGCTGCAAAGGAAATTCAAGAACACTTAGACTGGTTAGACACCTGGCAGATGATGAAGACAAATGCAGAGTATTATGTACAGGTATTAAAAACTATATGTGTAAGAACTGTGAGAAACAGGCAATAAAAAGGCAAATGAAATGTTAGGTTACATAGTTAATGTATCATAAAATGGTAAGAAACAGGTCTGAGAGAAAATCTCACAGGAAGTCGTCTAGAATGTTTCCATTAAATGTTCCACAGAGACCAATAGTATCTTCTTTCCAAACTTCATCCAGCTGCAGGTACAGTCTGGCCTCTTTCCAATTATACTGCAGACGCAAGCCATCCATTGTTTTAATTTGTATAAACATTGAAGAGAGCTCTTGGATGAGAAATGTATCTAGAAAAAAAATATTTAGTGTTATGATCTGCTTCACTGGATTGTAAACATGCAGATTTATAACCCTTATTTCTGTAGTTTATATGAAGTAATAAATAACTTCCTAGGAAGTTAATATGAAATATACTTTAAATTACAATGTATTCATGGACTATTCCATATGTCCTCACCTATTCCCTGTGAATTTCACAATATAAAGTTTGTGACTGAGATCCCAGATTTGGGATCTCAGGTTTGAGATAGACTTCAGATACCAATTTTCTGAAAGAAAAGCACATGCAGACATGATTGGTTGAAAGACACATCCAAATGCAATCAAGAATTGCAGTTCCTTGCTGCATGACACAATATTTCTAGATTCTACACTTTAAAGTTTAAAGTGTACCATGGTACATGCAGTCTTCCACTCCTAGTACCATAAAATGTATACAGTACATTTGACTTTTGTCACACACAAGTGGTTACTGGATGGTAATGAATATGTCAGAACAATGCAATGTTTTTCTGCTGTCATTACCATCTGTAAATGGCAGTGCGATTCTGTACTGGCTGAACACATACACCTCCCCATTGTGAGTCACTGTAATCTCCTTCCTTGGATCCTCATCAACAACCAGGCTAACTGATTGGATACAGGCTCCATCTAGGTTCTGTGGACACAAAGAGCATTTTGTGTAAATACAAAGACATTACCAGTAGACCACAAAGAACTAAAACTAATAAAAACAATAATAATGTGTTAAGATATCTGATACCTTTTCAAGTCCATATACACAGACACACATTCCTTACTGTCAAACATTTGCCCACATTTTTATGAGGTAATAAAAAGTTTAAGTTGTAAAATGTTTTACAGGCATGTCGTACCTTTTCATAATACCATACCCAAACATGTTAATCTGTCAGCATAGCAAAAATAACTAAGGGTGAAGATAGAAATTGGTCTAAAGCTACATTATGCATATCATTGCTGTAATTCTGTTAGTAAATACTGTAAACATTTTAGGGAAGTTTTCATACATGTGTTCTGTTAAATTACATAAGTTAGAAAAAAGTCAAAGGAATTTTAATTAAATCTTTAAGTGTATTTAAGTACAACTTTTTTAGATGATGTTAAAGCATGTGCTACAGCACATTGAAATGGGTAGTCATTGCAGATGACCAAACACATTTCATATTTAATGGAACAATAATAATCCAAATCTTACAAAATTGAATAGATCTGCGTAAGTTTTATTTACTTTTCCCACTAAGTAAGGATCTGCCTCCCTTAAGTTTTTTTCACCTTTAGATTTATTCTTTTAAGATTTTATATTATATTAGAGTGTACTTATTAGAGTAATAAAGTGTTTTACTGCATTTGTGTATGCGTGCAGTGGAATCAGATGTTTAGTGTGGAGTTTTACATTACTGAAGTTCCTCTCAACAGTACTGTATCTTACAGCCCATCCCTCTAAGTTATAATTTCCTCTGATACTGCATATCATATGAAGAGATTGTTAAAGGAGACTTGTCCCCTCCACAAGACGTATCTTAAGCAGGACAAATTTAACTGAACAGTAACTCTCTGCTCTGGTGAATTGCTCCTTTCATTACTGCTTTGCCCAACATTCAGCAGGTGCTCTCATACAAGTTGCTGTTTCTTTCACCAGCCGTTTTACAGAACTCTTTTTTATCTGCCACTACTCTCTTCATCTGCAACTACAAAGACATTCAGCCTGTCACTCAGGACTGAGATAAGGTAATCCAAGGCAATTGCCTGTTTGATTCCTTGTCTGGAATATGTCTGACATTTTATACCAGATCCACATGCTGTATGATGAGTTTTCATATCATCGACTCTGTGGCGCAGGGAGATTGCTGGCTTTGTGGTAGAAGAGATCTCAGGCTTTGTAGCTTTTCATGCTTTATCTGTCACAGTACTAGCCAGTTTGATCACTACATAAATGCAGTTCAGAAAGTCTTTTATCTTCAAAAGTCAATCATGTTATAGGTCTGAATCACTAAATGCTAGCTATTTGATGTAATTGCATTAATTACTGATACAAAATGTTTTCATATACAGTATACTATTACTCAGTCATCAATTCTGTGTTATACTGTACTGCAATTGTCAATGCACCATATTCTAGAGTCCATTGTGTGACATTTGAATGAAGCATAAATGGAGGTGCAGAGGAAAAAAGACTTTGTATATAAGAGAAATTAGGCGCATAAACACACTCAGATTCCAGTTTTCAAAAGTTACACAGCCAATTTTGCAACATGATTTGTTATGTACTAATCATTAATCCACCCACCCACCCATTTTCACTCCGCTTTTCCTCGTTAGGGTCGTGGTCAGCCCAGACCTCCCTGATCATTCCTAATCACTTATCATTAAGAGACATTCTGCAGTGTCTGATCAGTTGGGCCCCAGAGTTCTGTCCATTCTATGTTGTCACACAATAAAGAGACACCTACCACTCCACATGGGGCGTTTTGTATTGTGACCGTGAACTTTCCAGAAGTGCGGCTTTTTGCCAGAACGTACTGACATGTGGCTTGAAATGTGTACACCTGTCCATCCAAGGTCTGAAAGTGAATATCTCCGGTAACAGAACACTCTCCTGATAGAAAATAGGAACATTAAACAACATATATTATTAAGCCTGACATTGCTTTCAAACTGGGCAATTGTAACTGTCCAACTTTTCCAATTTAAGATTAAGGAATTTGGGGAGCAAATAAGTTACAATATGCTATTGTTTTAACATATATCTATGTAAAACATGTTCATAATTAAAGTCATAATGCATTTAATATCTTTTAGAATAGTTTAGAATACAGTATAGCTGAAATAAACATTTTCAATATTCAATCATCTAGGGACACTATGTCCTAAAATTCTAGTGTCACAACTGTTTCTTTTTAACTTGCATCCTCATGCCAATGTAATCAAGAAGAAGTGGGGAGAAAAAGATGTGTTTCACTTGAAGCCCACTGTGCACTGAAATACTGACAGATTGTTTCCTAAGGTTTACCTGGACAGCGGTGGTCTGTGCAGTTCCAGTATCCACCCACGCAGGTGCTGAAACCATGACACATAACACTCATGTCAGAGATTGAAGAATGCATATTCTTAACATAATACAAACATGTAAATATTTGTAAAACATAAATGCTGCATTTCTTTTGGTTTATCTGGTATGAACCAGATTACCACAAATACACCTATGATTTGCCAAAGATGATATAAACTTGGTTGCTGTAAGTAAATCATAAATTTACACAAATAATATATCTTGTGAGACATGACAGCTTCCAGATTACTTTTTTGTAACCTTGTCACCTACCCAATAACCTTAATAGAACAATGCTACAGTCATTTCTACAACATATACTGCCCCAACCCCAGCTGAGAGTGAAAGAGGCTGACCAGTTATTGCATTCTTCTTGGACTATATGTCCAGGGGAGAAAACCATCCCATGATAGTCACATGGGCACTCCGACGGCTGCACACAGCTCCCGTTGTCGTAGATCAGATCTGTAAGAGCACAGCAGCAATGCAAAGAACACAGCCTTCCACGTTAGACATCCTTTAGTGCTTTCATATGAAAGTGTTACTTAGTGAAGTAATTTCTAACCTTCAGGGCAGTAGCATCCATCCAGACACTGAAGTTTGCTATCAATACACATCTTGTCAATACTACAGGAGACAGGACAGCAGGTGATACATTCTCTGTATACGAATTTGTCATCACATTCCACTGCTGCAACAAAGAGAAACAACATCTTAGATGGTGGTTCTTTAACTGGATGCAGCCTTATTAAAGTACCTGGAAAGTTGCTCATTGTATCTGCATTACATTTCTGCTTTGCCCATTATTTCACTTTACATACTGTTCAAAGGAAGTCTTGATGGCAGTTCTGATCAGTTGTGAAGTTCAGAACAACAGAGTTATTATAACTTTCCTTCAGGCCATTGCAGCATTGATAATATCTGTTGTTATCCCATACCAAATAGAATGGAAAATTGATTTGGGGTCTTCTGCATTAAGCAGACAAACTCCTGGTACTTCAAGAAATTGACCCAGTGAGGGAGTTGGATTCAATGACCTCATTTCACTTCAGGATATACTGTAGTAACTAAAGTAAAAAGGTTTGAACTGTACCACACTGTGGAATCTGTGCTCTCCAGTCATGCAGGGGGTGGTCAGAGTGAGCACAGGCCCGGGCATATTCTGCCAGCGTTTGGCACAGTACCTCATCGCTAGCATTAGGTCCAGTACTGACAAGAGAAACAAGGAAGGGAAATTACAGTAATGAGAAAGGAGATCAATTATCATCTGCTGAGGTAATCCGATAAACAAAATACCGTACTGTTCTTCTCTTACTGCAGCAGACGTACTTCTGTAAACTACATAACTGTGAAGAAACCTGCCAGGGTTTTACGTGGAGCTGTAGAGAAGCATGTACTATAGACTATACTCAGGAAAGGATTAAAAAAAAGTCAAGTTTTTAAACAACAGTATAACACCTTCAGTAGTTTGGTTAGGTCCTAACAAATGGGAGAGAGAGACGATTACGCATACTATATTTAGTTTGTTTTGCCTAGCTGAGAGGATGGCAGCCTGTCTGAGGCCGGACAGGCTGTTCGCCCCTCCTCACTATTGCAAGGACTGAGTCAGGGAGCTGCTGCCAGGGTGCAGATGTGGGTGTGTGTGAGAGAGACACATAACAACTGAAAATTATTATGGTATGTACAGTATACTTATTTCTCATTTTCTGACATTGTGAGGCATTGAACACATCATGTCTTTTGCCAGTTATACATTTTCATGACTCACAACAAGGTTAAAAACAGAAACAAAGTACTTACATGCACAGATCATTGAAACAGCTGGCCATGAAAGGGAATGGGCTGACAAACTCATGGCAGTATTTAAACGGAGGTTTGAGGAGCAAGCCACACCACTCATGCATGTTCTTAAATTTAAGGGAAAACATAGTATCAGATCCTATTTTAACACCGTAGCCTTTAACATCAAAATAAGTGGACAATGGACAGTCATGTACTGTAAAACAATCTTAAAAACAAAATGCTAAACTATATTTTGTTTCTTTAAGACTGTGTTTTAGAAGACTTGGTGACAGCATCATTTAGAGACATGAGTGCTGTATTCGTGCTTCACCTGACAGACTTGACTGCATTCATACAGTACCTGTTGTGCTCTGGGGTCATGTGATGAACACGGAGAGGTATAGTCTGCAGGCACAGTGGAGCACATCTGCTGAAGGGGCTCCGTCTCCATCCAGCTGTTTCCGAACAGAGCAACATCATGTGTGAGCAAACCTGTGGAAAGGGAGGTTTCAGCTGTAAATTAGAAGCATAGTGCCAAAACTCCTTCACTGCTCTTTGTCAGATAACTGGGTATGTTCATAGACTCTGTACTACACTAAGGCATGCCAAAACTACTAGAGACCACCAATGAAGGATAATGTATTTTTCTTGATATTTTAGGAAAAAAAAGACTATTTTGCACTTAACCTTCTAAAGATTTTAACTATTAGCGTTTACCATTTTGCTGTTGGAAATACTACAGTATATAAGAGATAAAGTTGGTCCAATATGTCTCAACAGCTACACGTTTCTGTACTAAGAAAAGATCTCTGTGGTCTATTTTTATCTGTCAGCAATGCAGGATCTCAATCCACCCACCAAAGCTGGTTTTCAGATCATCTTGCACATCTGCATTGAAATTTCCACACAATCCACATGTTCTGCCCACATATTCTGGGCTCATTTTGAGGTACACTGATGCCTTGATGCCATCCCAGGCCAGTGTAAATCCATGCTGTTGGGTTACCAAGATGTACTGAGATATCCTCTCTATCTCTACATCATGCACACTGTGTGGAAGCTGAATGCTGAAAAAATAAAACACTGCTGGTTAACAGACCTTATGCAAATCACCAAACATAGTGATAATTTAGTTATAGATAGTTTGACACATATTTTCCATACAGTACATTGAATTCTGGCTGCTTTTTTTATTTGTATTGTCTTTTATTTCATATACAATAGCTCTTTAAAATTATTATTTTTGATAGTAGTTTATCTTCTAAATAGAATAGTTGCCTTTAATGTGATACAATGGTGTGAGGGAGTTTACAAAACAAACATGGTTCATTAGCTGGAAACAAATGGATTTTGGAAGTTACCTTTGTCCTCTGAAAGTAATATTGTATTTCTGTAATCTGAGCTCTCCGTCCCCTGGAAGAAACAGGCTGACCGATCGAGCACATTGGTATGTAGATGAATGGCATGTTGGATCATTGTGGACCTGTATGATCAATCATATCACAAAAGATCTGCATGTTATGGGATCAGGAGTTTTGAAGACCATGTGGTAAACTCAGCACAGAACATGTACTTTGTAATATTGTATCAGTTATTTTCAGAATAGGTTTACTGTATCCTTTCATTTCAGTTATGCACAATATGTTGCTATTTTTATGAAATTCTTTCACTGAAGCTCGCAACTCAGTTAACAAACTTAAAGACTCTGCATGTCAGAAAAAAAAGCGTGCCTGACCCAGAATGATAAACACTCTATAGGAGCAGTGTCTTTATGGAGACAAATTCAATTGCCATTTCCATAAAAAACAATAAATTGTTAATACAACCGATTCTTCTTTGTTGCTCTTTAGAACCAAGTGCTTTTAATGGTTCCCTGAACAAAGTAAATTTTGTTTTAGATTTGTACCAGACTAAGCAGATAATTATGGAATTAAACTGTAATTGACATAAATGACTCTAATAATGAGATCACTTTCACTAATCTGCAGAGGAAATATTTTCCTTGGGCTCAGGCAATATAATTCCCATTAGATAGGTTGCCTGAGAAAACAGCCAGGATAAAAAGAGATCTTATGTATAAAACATTTAAACTAGAGAATAAAAAGGCCATAATGGTGAGATATCAAATACCATCTAAACTACGGAAGGAAGTAACAGAAAGTTTTCCCATACAAAATTAATCTTCCTGGGATTTTCTCATTCAGGGTGGAGCAATTTGTTCATCCTTGCTTGCGAAAAACAAAACTGCAATAATATTGTTTTTAATTTCCCTTTAAGGCATGTTACTTTGTTAGCAATTTAAAAACAATCCAAGAGTATATACAATGCTGAATACAAGATTCTACCTTGCTCATTGGGATAAGCTGTAACAAGCAAGGTGAACAGTCCAAAAAAGCATATATTAAGTTTAGACAATTTTTAAATAAATCTCTCTAGTTTATTTCTTGTTGTTTCTTTTAGTGGCTACTAAATTAAGTAAGAAGTGTTTCTCACACAACCATATATGTTGAGGTCAAATTGCATTCTGTACATACATTTCCAGAAAAAATATAATCTAAAATTATTATTTTCTGTTTCTATTTAAAAGCACAAACAAATCATTCTACCATTTGTTTCTAAAATATGGTCATTTGCAGGATTTTGCATTAAAATCAAAGCAGATTCTTTTTAGCATTATTGTTTGCAGATGTTGCTTGGTAGTGATTATGAACTAATCTTCAAATCAGGTGATTCGCTTTAAGACTACATATTTGCAGAAAACGTGGGGAAACATACTATACGAACAAGCATTTCTATTTTTGAACAGCTTGATGTAAATAGTACTATTTTGTTACAGAAACCTTTGTCCCCCAACTGGTAAATTTGTGATGTGACCAGATTTTGCAAGGCACTTTGGCACAATGGTTATGGCCGGTCTAATGTAACCTTTAAAGTTTCCTGCAGGTTTTCTGTCATTTTATTTATGTAGTGCCACCTTCTGACATATAGTAGATAAAATCTACTATATTTTATCTACTATTTCATAGATGAAATCTACTATTTCATACACATAAAGTATGAAATAGTGATAATTAAAAAATGTTTTTGCACCTACTGTACTTACTACATAAATTAACTAATAAAATGATATAAATTATCGTATACTGTAGTTTAAAAAAACCTCCTCAGCTAGCAATATTTTTTTGGACTCGGTATTTTCATTCCGCATGTTTTATTTTCTAGAAAATGTACTGTAGTAAGCCTTTTGTGAATTTTAAAATGGAAAAACACAGATTTGTACTCAAATCTATGAATGATATTATTAAAAATATTTAGTATTATTATTAAAATGAGTGCTGTTTTTGAACAGCAGAGTTAAAAGATCTTGCCAACAAGTCTGCATACTCAGTGTGTGAGCAGATCAGAACTTTTTTTTAAAGACAGCTCTTGACAGAACAGCTTTGGTTTAAAAGTATAATAAACGAAGATGCTGTTACCTGTATCATAAAGCTTGGCTGCACTGCATCGTCACATTCTCGCACTAGAGTATAAGTGCACTTTCCAGGGAAGTAATAATAAAGCCCATCAAATGTCTCATAATTATATTGTCCCCACGTCCGGCAGATCAATTCTCTTTCAAACCCTTTGTTTGGAACTAAGGGAAGAGAATAAGAGTCTTAAAATCAAGGGGATAAAATCAGAATTCATTCCAAAAGTCTGTTCTGCTGCGACTCCTCCTCCTGATGCGGGCTTTCCTCATTTAATATGATGGAAATGCTTCTATTTTAAAAAACAAAGAATACTTGACTGACACAGTGAAAGGAAACACTGAATATGTTTACGTCCATGAGGATTTAAGGTGTGTAACCTGTTTGACACCGCACTCCTGTTGCTTCATATTGGCTGCAATTGCATGATGCTGGATGTACACATTCTCCTCCATTGAGACAGGGAAATGTACAGGGTTCTGGAAAAGACATTAGGAATTTAACCATGCATGGTACTGTTTTAATAATAACTCCTGAATGTTTTATAGAACCTCATAAAATTTACTGTACACATCCCATGGGTTTCACTTTATAAGCACTATCTTAATTCGCATGTCACAAGATGGAACTGAAGGATTTTTGAATAAAGCTGCATCTTTAAATAAAGGAACAAGTAATAGGTTTATTCCATGCTGAAAAAAAGAAGAGAGAGAACACAACGTTTCGGCAAGGGAGCCTTCTACTTTTTTTCAGCATGGAATAAACCTATTACTTGTTCCTTTGCAGCCTACGCATGCTGACGCAGCTACCCACCTGAACTATCTTTAAATAAAGCTGTTTTGGCACGGCGTGCTTCTTTAGGCCTCACCTTTGAAGATCAGCACAGAAGTGAGTGGGAGCCATGATGTAGAGTATTAGTTGCTGTTAGTGAATGTGGTCCCTCTTAATTATCCCTCCTTTCTTGCCTCTCAGCCCTGAGTAGGTACTGATAGATTCCCAAGGGTAAAGTAAAGCTTGAGTAGTTACAGCCTTCCCACAGACAGCTGGTCAGCTCTTATCTAATGGCCTCAACATATGGTAAACAGGCAAAAGCAGAAAATCACCACAGACTCACCTGAAGCTCTGGTCCGTAGTGGCTTCAGCCCTTCAATTAAATGTACTGCTGTAGTAGATAATGTGGTAGCAGTTACTGGTGATCCCTGAAGCAAAGACCGAGAGAGCATTTGTATTTACTTCTGGCACCTCTCCAATTCAAAACTCAAAAATCCCAAATCCCCACCCCACCAACCCCACCACAAAATAACCCCACTCACACATTCAAAACCAAATTACTTTCTAATTTTATTCAGACTCAAAAATGTTTATGTATGTTTTAATTGAGGTCATCAGAATTATGGTAAATGCCAGGATAATGTCTGGGAAAAGGAAGAATTGTCATTTTATCCAACCAAAACTAAGCTCTTGTAACTGTACCTGTAACATTTAATTAATTATGTTAAAGCTTCTGCCCTTTAATCAAACTGTAGAATGCCTTCACCAACTAGAAAACCAACCTGAGATCTCAAGTAACAGATTAATAAAGCAGCTGATTAAAAATGAGAAATTGAACCTCTTTCCTACCTTCCTTTCTTTTATCAGTCCTCACAGATTTAATGTAGATGTGAATTTTCTATTTTAAGGAATTATAACTTTTACAATTTTTGGTCTAGTCTGATTTTATCAAACTATTACCATTTTATATGACTTTGTTCAAAGATATATATTCTTCTGCATTGGAGAAAAAAAACAACATTGAATATCTAACCCAAAAAGATAATCAACATGTATTATTTACTGACACTTAGAATTGAACATACTGTATACAGAATGAAAGCCAACATCTGTCCATTTTCAGCGAAACCAAACAATGTGACTAAGTGCACTTTGGGGTTCCTGAATGTAGGCGCCCTTATTCAGATTCTAAGCATAGTACCAGGGCAGTGTATGAACTGCACAACAATTCCCATTTCTCAGCTTAGATACCTGAAACCAGCCTGGGTGGAACTGCTAAAGAGATTTGCTTTCAACTAGTAGAGTACCATAAACAATGCTTGAAATGTTCAATTTGGAATTGCAATAAAGCAATGTATATCTCCATACAAAAGACACGGAATCTGTTTTTAATTGTACTTAACTGTCTATTTTACTGCAATTGTTTCCCTGTCATAAATTTCCTATTAGTCTTTAATCTTTTTTATTCTAATTTCTTATTACAGAAGCAAGTACAAATTAGCCTACAGGATACTGTAAGGTGTACGTACTGTACAGTATGTCATGATTTTCTGTATTATACTGCATTTACAGTATTGTAGTAGACAATTCAGTGGGGTTAAATCTTCATTATTTTATCTATACTGTATCTATGAGACTGAATGTCCAAAATCTCTTTTTGATCTTAAGAAATCAATTTGTCTTTGACGCTATTGTAAAACAGTAAGACTTTGCTTCTTTGGTATTCAACACATTTCTTTCATCTTTAGCACATAGATTTAAACACCAACATCTTTTTTATCATTGAAACACCCACGTCCATTTAGTGGTTCTTGTCAATCGAAATGTTTTAGCTTCTACTTTAGATAACAATGATGACAACAAAAAAGTCATATCATATAAATATTAAAACAAATTATACACAGCAGGTTATACAAAAAAAATCCTGCAAATACTTGTTTTCAACCACACAGTACAGTAGGTAGATGTAAACTAAAGGGATGCAAATCCAGATTAATATATTTGTTCAAATAAATGCTTTTACAATATACAGTAGTTTTGAGATGAAGCAGATGTTTTATGATAAAGGTTTAAGATTAATTCTTTAAAACCCCTCAACCTTTGTTACTTAGATATCATATGGGCACAGTTAATGTATTTGACATGGTTTTGTAAGGAAATGTTACAAATCAGTAGTCCTGGGCTCCTACCTGCAATCCCTGGGAACTAGTATCCCATTTCTGCAGTATTATACTGCTGCTTCTGCTGTTAGAAAAAGAGAACAAGGCAAGGTTTGTTCTTTACATGTAACCTGTATTTCACTGGTCCGGTGTAGCACATACTACACTGGAAACAAAGAAATGCACCCGAAATATCAGCGAAACAGAAGCTAGTTCAACAAAAGAAAAGTGCAATGTGTTTCTTGTCTTAAAGCAAAATTGAAACGTATCTAATAAGATGACGCACTGGCGTTTTAGTACTTTGTAGTAGAACAAGTGGTAAAATGGATTTCGGCAATCACATGAAAAAATGTCATCCTCTTACATTGAAAATTAAAGCATTGAAATTCCAATTTTCCTTTGATCAAAGTTTCTATTCTTTCTCATTACTGCAGGATTGTGTCCCAGAAAGGTATTTACAGTGAAGTCTGAGGTGGTAGTTAACTGAATATAAGAGCAGTAGCGCTAACGTCGTTATTTTACACAATTAAAATTACAATCAGATACAAACACATAACCTCAAATGGTAGTGTGAAATTATATATGAAATATACATTTATACAGTATCTGTTATCTGTAATAACTGCAATAATAATATTTCTACTTACTTTTCAAGAGCATCCCTGCCAGGTAAGATCACATTGTCTACACTCCACGAAATAAGTGCTATAAAATTAAACAAATATAAATTGTGATTTTAATAACGATATGGATTTCATTGATAATATGTAATCCAAGTTCTGAAACTGTTTATTTAAAGCCTTCAGAAGGCCTTCATGTACTGTAACAAGCAACACCAATTTTAACTGTTAAATTAAATAGATTCTACAACAAAATACGTTTCTCAGTATTAAAAAAATGATGTGCCCACTTACCTTGGTACAGTAGAATACAATAAAATAATAAAAACCACACGTTTCGTTTTATGGTGAAACTTAATTTAGAATCCATCCGTGCTTCATATGCACCAGGTGTTGATGGAATCAATTTCTCCAAGAAAAGCCAGATTAAAAAAAGTAGTTTAGCTGTAAAGGAGACACATTTTTCTATGATAATGTAGAAGTTTGTTTTTCAGGTGGACTTTCTCTTCTGTTTCAGATCTGAGAGCATCCCTACTCCTGCTTAAAGAATGACGACAGGCACTAATTAACATAATTTATTCAGGCAGGTATCAGAGGCCATGCAAATGAGCAAACTACCGTAATGTTAACCTATGTCAGAAGTCTGTCTTAAAATGTATAAAATGCGTATGTCAGTCTTTAGTCATTAGGTTCTGCTTGAAACAGCTTATTAAAAACGCATTTCGGAGGAAATAGAATATTACTTGCTGTTCAGACTCCTTGCCCAGAGAACGGTCTGATTTAAACCTCTCCTGTTTTGACTTAAATTATCCGTTATACCAGAGTTGACTTTTATTGTCCTTTTCATTTGAAGGTTTTGTGCCTCGATTGTTTTAAGACTGAGAAGTGTAAACGTAAACTACAAAATAATTAAAATGCATTTGAAAAATTATTATAGACCAAGCTTGTGGTCTACTTTCACAGTTAAAATCCGAATCCGTTTAAAAACAAAAGGAGATTTTTCTGTTCATTGTACTTTACAAAAACAAAACTGAATCAAAAAGGTGAGATGTTAAATTTTTAAGATACCTTCACAATTCCACACAAACGTGTTTGGGAATAGGGGATTGAATAAGTAGGTAGGTCGCCACCTAGCGGAGATCTGAGTTAACACTCACCTGTTTCCCTTCACATTGAAAAAATGTTTATTTGTTAAAGCTATATATACTATATATAGGGCACTTATTTCCAGAAGGGATACATGTTTAAAAGTAAAAGACTTCATTTCAGAGATTAATGTATGCTTATAAAATAGATAACTATCATCATCGTAGTTAACCCCTTATTCTTGTTACGTTAACATTAATACCGTAAGCCATGTTAAATATTTTTTCACCGTTTATTTGTAATTCTTATTCACAAATTAATTATGTTTCAGAAATATTGTCGACCAGAGGTATCTTAATAGGGCGTAGTAAGAACTCGGGTACATTATATTGTACCAGTTCGGAAAGAGATGTCAATCCAGTGGAGAGCGCATTCGTGAAACAGTATTCATTCTTCCCCGAAAGTATTTATTCCTAAAATATAGTGATTTTTAAAAACAAATGCTGGATACAGTATACACAAACTACAAAACGGAAGGAAGCGGTTTGTTGAGAGTATTTGTACGAGGAGACCGGCCGGTATTCACACCGGAGCGGTCTATGCGCAGCAGGTAGCTGTACCTGCGTCTTTCCAGCCTTGTATTGAAAGGAACAGGGAAGCGCCTTGAGCGCTCCGCTCCTCCCAGCGCCGGACAGACAGCCGCAGAGGAGCAGCACTAACGAGCTCGGCAGAGCCGGCAGCGCGGACAGGAGCCCGGTGTTGCGCACAACCATGGAGCGAAAAGTTGCTCGCGAATTCAGGCATAAGGTAGGAAACGCGGGGGCTTGGGATGAGACGTGTGTATCAAGACATGTACAGTACATGTAAAACAGTCTTTTAAAAAAAAAACGCCAAGATGACAAAAGACATGTACTATATGTACTCTGACCCCTATCAATTAACCATGTACATGGGGGAAGGGCGTTGTACGTGGCAGTTATGTACGTTTACTAACTTATTTACTTACTTAATTTATTTTATTTCTTGAATGTTTTTATTATTATGAATTCTAACAGTTGCGGTAATTCTTACTCTTAGCTGAGAAAATGTGTAGCGCAGCTAATGGAGTGTAGTGGAGTGTATCGAAATAACTTGTATTTACTATTTTTAATTTGCTTTTTGTTGGACGGAATTTATAAATTATAGTTCATTTGATACAGTATTGTGTTTCAAAACAGGAGCAAGAATGGGATTACTATGCAAATACTAATCAATACAGTAGGCTGCACTTCAGAAAACGTGATAAACTCTCGCAGTTTCTAGGCCTACATCTGTGATTGATTGGGTTTAGGAACGATGCTACAATGTGAATTTCTAAAAGTTATTGTCAAAAACACTAAATAATACACAAGTCCAGATGCTCAGATGTGGAAAACAGTTAACTGGTAGCATCTGTACACATACAGTACAACACATGGTCTATAAAACATCATGTTGCTAAGGATCATAATTTATAATGTTAAAAACGAACAAAAAAACATCAAATATCTGACACGCCACATGATATGAAAGTTGCACCATGGGTAGGGGTAGGTTCTTCCATATAAAAAAGACTCACTGTGCCTTAGTCGCTAAATTGCGACCCCATAAAGCTGTGCTCTTCAGCACATAATTTATAGATGCTACCAAATATGTTCAGTGAGGCAGAAACATTCTTTGCTGATTTACTGTTGATTAAATTAGAATGACATCAAAGGGGGAGAACGCTGCATAATAAAGGACACTTGGCTTTGAATCAACAGAGCTCGGTTGACCTTTTATCTAATTTGTCACTCCTGATTGTGCTTGAAATGCCGTTTCTGGTTTTTCTGAAGGCTGTACTTTCTGAAAAATGGCACTCAAGAGGAAATATTCCCAAACTGTTTTGTTTTGTGCTACGCATTATGCTCATTTGCAAAAAAGGGGAAATAATCCTTCTTGAAGGAGAGGATTACAAAGATGTTTAAACTCGCTCTTCTTCTGTCATCTCACCTGAGAAGATTACAAACCAGAGGAGGCCATTTGATCCATCTCACGTGTTTGCTGCTACTACTGTGGCTAAACTCTTTCAACCGTGTTCCCATATAGTGAGGATGAACTAACATGAAAATGTAAATTGTTTTCACATGTTGTGCCATTATGTTCAATATCACTCATTTAACAGTGTTTACAGACTTTAAATATATACAGAAAATGTCACTTTTAGATATGCCGTTTTAAATCTTCTCTGGTGCTCTTATTTAACACAAATTGGAATATGTACTTAAGTGCTATTTTCAATTTTTATTTTTAGCTTCTGTTTATTTAATGTCCATTTTTTACGTCATAGTTTGCTGGTATTTCACTATCAGTATGGCAAGTTTTATGGCTTTCAAGTATCAAAGTCTTTGGGGTGGTATGAATTGTGCAATAATGAGTTACGAGACGTATGAATGTTTCTACCTACTCAGCGGTATAGCTGCCATTTTGCACACATCATCTTTAATTACATAGTAAAGGCTCCATTTTAATACAACTCAGGTTGAAATCTAAATTTAGACACAGTGCATTGTGTGCTGCAGATGATTCAGTTAGGAATATTTGCAATCCACTTTTGTACTTTGCAATGCTGCAAGACTGTATTCTCAGAAAGGAAGGGGCTCTAACACTGACTGAACATGCACCTTGAAAATGTGTTGCAAAGGTTTTTAAATATCATGGGAGGAATATTATTTATGCTTGCATGAGGAAGCTTAAAGAAAGGCAGGTAGGGCAGTAGCTGTTGTTGACAATAGGGTCTATTAGTGTTACTTCTTGATGAGCTGTCCCAAAGCGGACAAAGTTGCATCTGTCTGTAATTTGTAAAGTTACAAAGAGAAAGGGGTAGTTGTCAGGACACCACCATCACAGATACCAGAGTACCAACTCCAGTCACAGTGCTGTCAGTCTGTGCTGGTGTAACAGGGCTCATGCACTGAGTCAGTGACAGAAGTGACATCACCCCCTTCTGAAAGCTAGACAGGGTAAGACTCTGTGACAGAAGAGGACCTGGTGTTGAAGTCCACTGCATTCTACAGCTCCACAGGAGCAGAAGTCTCCTCTGGCTGTGTGGTTCTGGGTCACTAGCAGTTGTGATCAGATCCCGGCAGGAGCAGAGTGGAGTCACGCTGATCACTGATGGCATGGAGAACTCTCCCGTTAGAGACCCGGGTGTTTTGGAGTGGCAGGGTTGTCCACAGTCTAGAGCCTGTGATTGGCCTAAACCAGTGCCTCATGACCTGGGATAATGTTGGAGGTGGTTTCATCTTTTAGACGAGACGTTAAACCAAGGCCCTGCTTACTTGGTCAGATTGCATGATAGTGTTTATATGAGTGAGCTTTTTAATTAACCCCAGTGTCCTGACTACTCTGGACTTTCACAATCTGGCCTTCTTAAAGTTTAGCCCTTTGGTGACAACATTTTTCTTTCCTTGTCTGGATCTGCTGTCCCAGGCAGAAGCTTCTTTTCAGCGGTGCATGAATTGCATCACCTACAAAGCGCCTAATAATTTTAATGAATAATATTAGATATTCTTAAAATTCATATTAAAGCAGTTTCTTTGATCAAAACAAACTTAATCTGAAGGAAAGTTTATTTCCAAATGCGACAGAAATCAGACCTTTTTGGGTTACTAATAGAGTCGGGAGAAAAGGCCTCTTTATATACTGTACTGCAGGGCCTGTGGAAAGGAGGCTGTAGTTGAATGTGTTGTAAAGTGACACTGCTCCAGCTGAACCTCCCATTACCACGCATAGAAGTGGCTACTAGTACTGAGCCAGATGAAGGCTGCAGGCTGAGCAGAGAAAGCGATCTGCCCCGGGAACTTATTGTAGACAACAATACCCTCTGGATAACTGTAGCACTGCTCTTGAGCCAGTGATCACTTTACACAAGCAGCTACACTGATTCTGGATGGGAGGAATGTGCTACATTAATGAATGGCCGAAAAGGTTTTTGAAAATATTTGTCCAGCAGTTCAGCCGTTACCAGGTAAGGGACTATATAAACGCATGACTTTCTGCAATGCCGTATGTGGGATCCGTTTTTCATTTTTGTTGAAATCCTTTTGTATGCTCTCTAAAGACGTTCATCAAGTCAGTTCTGAATATGTATATTATCAGCATGTTAAAACAATGTTATCATTGTGTGGTTGCTTTACTTTGTAGGTGGAATTGCTTATTGACAATGAAGCTGAAAAGGATTACCTTTACGATGTGCTGCGGATGTACCACCAGTGAGTCCTGTTTTTTCTTGGCTATTTTCTTCTGATATTGTCCATTTTACCCACTACTATTTATACAATATTTTTAAGATATTTTGTTAATATTCTCAATGTAGACTTATAGTACTGTATCACACTATTAATATTTTACCCATGAATAATAAGTTTTCTTTCCATTTGTGCTGGAAACAGGAAAGTTATTTAAATGTGATGCATGAAATGCAGGTCTCTTAAAATCCCAGCATGTTATGAAATGCAGAACATTTCTCACATCAAGTAAAATGTTTATTTTATGTATAAATGATTGTACTTTTATCATTACTGCATAGCTTAGTAATGTTAGTTCATCTTTTGATTTCAGTGAGACACTCTGCTTATCCACACTGCACATTTTGCATTTAAAAAGACTGAATCGATTTCATACACTTTAATAACTAAACTTCAGCAGATGTGCTTATACGGTATATTCTGTCAAGATTTGTCTGAGGAATACTGACAAAAGAATTCCGCAGTGGGAGGTATTGTTTCCACTGAGTTGTGTAATAATAGCAGCTGAATGGAGTGAAATGTAGATGTTGCAGAAGTTTCCATGTGATCTTTGTAAGGAGGAACAGTTTTGTTTCTCACTGGATATGTATCCAGTTCTCTTTCACTCCCTGTCCAATTGAACCTCTATTCATATTCGCTTTTGCTTGTGCGTCAGAAATGAAATAGCTATGGTTAATAATTTAAAGACTCCACCAGGTTGCTAAATTCATAAACAGCTGTCATACAATGCCAGAGCAGTTTTTATGAGGTATAGTTTACTACAGTGCTTCAGGAACTTGCTGGTACCTTTATGCTCAGCAGCTGTGGAGAACTTTTAAGTGAACCATAACATGATTTATAGAGATCTGCAAAGTACCTCCTATCCAGTGGTTGTCATCGTGTACAGTATACAGTATTACAGAAAATAAGGCACTAATTTAAGCATGAGCTAATGTATTCAGGCAATTTTAAGTTCACTGAGATTTTTTATTATCCAAAAGTATTCTTCACTTTTAGAACTGTTGTCATTGTTTTAATAAGCTAATTTTCCACATTTAATATCTTTGCTTAACTGGATTTGATATACTGTAGATGTCGGTATGGTGCAGTCATTTTCCTTTGACCTATTTTAATTTTTAGGACCTGTTTAGTAGTAATGGAGAATGAATACTTAATTGTGTCAGAAGGCATTATTTTGTTACAGTGCCTCTTAGTTATAAGAAAGTGCATAATATACATTTTTTTTAAAATGACAACCTCACGGAGATGTCCCAAAATATATTATGAAACTGCCACAGAGCAAAACAGCTTTTTACATTTACATTTATTTGTGTTAATTGCAACAAGTTTTTTAAGTAGATTTGGTTATCCATTGTATAAACATTTCCAAGAGGTTTTCAGATAATTTTCATTATCTCGTTGCTTGAAAGTCGGGGTGGCAGATATATTTTTAATTGTACAGTACATGATGTTTCAATGTTAAAGTCAATATACATTACACATCACATGTCACAGTATTGTACCGTTTGATAGGAGCAGGAGTCATTAAGGCTATTGACTGAAATGGGTAGGTGTGTCGGGGGGTTACTGCGATGGTATCCTTGAACTAGTGCTTGACTCAGATTGCTCCAGTAAAAAAGCTGCTGTATAAATGCATGCTCTCAAGGTTGCTGTGGTAAATGAGAATTTGTTCTCAGCTGGCTTGTCTGATTGAATAAATCAACCACGTTTAGTCATTCGGATGGTTCCAGGGAGTATTTTAATTCATAATTTCTCACATTTTCTAAATGTTCTATTTCATCAGTGTTCTCAGGCCTCGAGCCTTAAAGGCTGTTTGACACAGAGTAAGTTGTCAAAAGGAGACATTTATTGTTGAGCTCGAGATATACAGCTGTACCCCTGCCATTGCTGGGCTGATGTTAAAGCTCTTTGTTCTGGTAGCCCTTCATCTTTTCTTTCCCAGATCTATGGACCTCCCTGTCTTGGTTGGTGATCTAAAGCTGGTCATTAGTGAGCCAAGCCGCCTGCCTCTTTTTGACTCCATTCGACCTCTCATCCCCCTGAAGCACCAGGTGGAGTATGACCAGCTCACCCCTAAACGGTCAAGGTGAGCAGGCTTCTGCAGATGCCCATGTAACGATGCTGTAAAACAGATGGGCCAAGCTTGGAAGAAATGTAGAAAAGAAAAAAAAAGAGTTTGATATATAATCCCATTTTAACTGAATTGCTGGTTTTCAGATTCACTGATCCACATCTAAATGTAATGGAATGAGTTTAGCAGTGAGACAGAGTTTTTGTGATTGAGGTTGAAAAAGAAACTGGCCCATGAGATTCTATTTGTAAGCAAAAGAAACTCAATTTAATGAACATATAAAAATAACATAAGCAACTGTATCTGTTTACTTTAACATTATACAGTGAAATGGATAGGATTACTCCTGAAAGAAGAAAGTATTTCTGTGTTAGCAAAAGAGAAAACAACTGACTAAGTTGAAAAGTTGAAAGGCAGCTATATTTTGAATGTACTGTATAGTACATTATTAGGTTTAAAATGCAAACAATGCAAGCTTGTAAATCACAGCTGATAAGAAAGAATTAAAACAGGTACACATGTTCTATATGGCCTTTCCAGTGTAAGTGTTTGTTTTAATAGTATTACCTTATTGTGATTGGAAAAGGAAATCCAGTGTTTCTGTTTGTCACTTGAATGCGCCACTTTTTCACACTGGAAATGTAGGAAGCTGAAAGAAGTCCGCTTGGACAGAACCCATCCTGAGGGACTGGGACTGAGTGTCCGTGGAGGATTGGAGTTTAACTGTGGGCTTTTCATTTCACAAATAGTCAAGGATGGACAAGCTGACAACGTGGGCCTGCAGGTAAGGAATCTCACTTGCATGCGTGTGCTGGGAATAATGGCGGACACTCTCCATTTATGTGGTACCTGACATACAGTAAATATCCATCATATGACCTAAAGCTCTTAGGACATTTGAGGTACTGTATGCAGCAAACTCCTGTCTTGCACCCTGCCAGGATAGGTTCAGGCTGACCACAGCCTTCATCATCTTTCTGATAATGGATCCATGGTGAATCCAAAGAATGTTTGATTGGTTAAAAACAACCCTAAAATGTGACGTGTATTAATGAATTGTTACGGAGGTTCGGGAATGTGCACCAAGTTGATTATTTTCACGAATAATAAGGAAAAAAACATTTTCTTAAAGAAAAAACTAATTAAATGCTGAATGTAACTTTGGCCATTTAAAAACAGCAAACTTTTGAGCATTATACTGGAAAATTTCATACTTTTTATTCGTCTTTCAACAATATCATTATCCTTGCAGCAGTTCATTGGTTACATGTTTTGATGTTTAGAAATAAAATAAAAAATGTCTTTGAGAAGAATATATCTCAAAGTTATACTGCATAAAAATGAACATTACACTTATTTCTAAATATAGGATTCAGCTATTAGACATTTTTTTCTCTGTTCTTGCCTGATGGAAACGTTCTAAGGTTTAATCTGATAGATTCCAAAGCCTTGAGGTAGTGTCCGAGTGTCTGTGTCCCGTTGTGTTTCTGGACTGCTCACTTGACATGCCATGCATTTCTTTTGTCCTCTGAACGGGTTCTTATCATTATTTTTTAATTAGGGTGGATAGAAGCCAACACAAAATGAATAAAAGGGTTAGCTTCTGAAGTGGATTATCTTCTATTGCTGACTAAGAGTGCTGATACTAAAATGGAGTTTCTTAAGAACTGTTCTGCCCTGCAATGCAAGTAATTTCATCCAGTATAGAGGGTTTTTTTTACCTGAGTTTCTTGCCCATCTGTGACTCTGCTCCTTGCCCGACTTCATTGTCATTAGAGTGTTCATGTGTTTATTAAAGCTTCTCAGAATAAGAATGAAATAAATATAGAAAACAGCCCATTTCTTTTAATGTCCGAGGTTTCAGTGTGTATCATCTTTGTCATAGAATAACTGCCATGAGAGTTAGGTGGAGACTTGAGATTTCTGTGCTTTATTCAGAAAAAAGCGTTTGTCTCCTTAACTACTTTTTTTTTCTGGTGACACTTCTACAATGTAATGAGCTTGATTCACTGAAAGACTATATGCAAATTACAAATGCAAACAATTGCAGCAAATCATATTCAGTGTACATGCTGTGTTCATCAGTGAATCAAACTCATGGCATGTGGAAAAAACCCAGTACCACTTATGAGAACCTCTGGTAGATATGGTGAAGACGACTATGTAAAGGCTAATTAACAATGTTTTAATTGTGATATGTGGATGAAATAAGAATGTAGCAGATACATTTTAAAAGGAGACTACAGACATAAGGTGTAAATAAATCAAGAAGCCCCTGGATGTTTTATGGAGTGACTACTTTCCTTTTGTAGCACATGCTAACTAACAAGCTACAGTATGCAGCATGAATATTATTATCTAAAAAAAATCATTAGCTTTTTGAGTACAGTGGTTTACAGGTGTTTTCAATATGATGTCGTTATCATGTAATACAGTATTTCTGGTTCTTTATTGCCATCTAGTGAATAAGGCTGTTACACCTGACACTTGGGTTGAAATGTATGGGTAGTTGTTACTGAAATTTGTGAAGATATAACAACATGTTCAGGACAATATGTCCAGAATATTCAACATACGGTAGACCTTTTTTTCAACATTACACAAGACAAGGCTAAAACTAGTGAAAAGTGATGCCAAAAAGTATTGAAATTGTTTTACTTGAATTGCTTTTGTGCAGCCAGTGTCACTAGTCATGAGTTTCTTAAAGTTGTGAGAGATTAAAAAAAGCTCCTGTGTGGCAATTGAAAGGAATCAGAACTGTGGTGTTATTGGTCTGTCTGGTATGTGGAGACAGGGATTACCTTGGTGCGTTGCAGAATCAGACAGTCTTTCCAGACAGCTCTGAATTCAGTTAAACATGAAGAGTATATAAGCAATCCTTTGTCCTGGAAAATGCTGTCTCATGTCAGAGCGAACTGTTGATGAAATTTCATCCAGGGCAGTTTTTCGGGAGTATTAGCCGGCCGAATCCCTTCAAGCTCTGTAATCTTTTAAAATGCACTTAATCTTATCCATTGTTTGGGAATGACATTGATATTGAATTTTCTAACTCGCACTTATTAACACAGCAACCTTTTTTTTTTCAAAACCTCAAAACCAATCAGACTAAATTCCAGAAAATTGCTTGCTAAGTGGAGTGTTAGTGGATTGATTTTTGCATTGCTTTTTCTTAATAGTGTTTTAGGGTTAATAAGGACTCATATAACTATAACAAGAACTGCTGTGGTAGGAGAATATCATTACAGCAGGCTGAGCACACAACAGCAGTACCTTCTGTAACTATGAGCGGCAAATCACTAAAACAGGTTTAAAGGAATTTAAATTTTAAGGGCACTGTTCTTTTACACTGTTGGCATTACCTCTGTAGTTTAGTATTTCTTCATTTGTAATTGGCAACTAGTAAGATTAGCATTGTTTTTGCCTCATTGAGCATTAATAAGTTAAATCTACTGCATTCATCTGCTGTATATGTTGCAAATATGTGGCGAGGGAAATGGTCAGTCTCTCTTCTGTGCCTTTTCCTAGAGAATCTAACTCTTAATGAGTGATATTTATCATGATCAAGGCTTTCTCTTGATCTCTTAAAAGAACATGATTTAGGAGCAATCATGTCTTTCACCCTATGAAAATACAACTAGACACAGATCTGACAAATCCTACCAGAATCAACATATTTTTGCAGATTGTGAACTTACTTTCTTTGTGTTAATATCTAAAGCAAACCATACCAGTTAAATAAATCAAGAAAACTCCATTGTGCACAATTTACATAATCCTCTTAAGAGTGTGATCTTAACAAATATTTAAAACAATAAAATGTAATATTGAGCTTATAATTGATTTTTTTTTTCTTGAGAGTGAACTGTCATGTAAACATTTACGTGATTTGGCATACAAGTGTATGATTCTTCAATTAAAAAGGTAAGTGAGATAAGAACTTAGTGTTAGTGTTCTGAAAACAGCAGTGCTCTGAGGCTTGCTTTTTTAGTTCTGTGCACAGGACAGTTTATATCTTATTTTTTAGGATCTGGAAACCATCCTCAGATACTTATATACTGTGAGGATGTAATGAGTAATGTGATTTTGTATAAATGAGCCATTTAGTAATTTGTGAACTGCTTTATACAGTACATACATCGCCAGCACCTGAGACTGGTATTAAGAGGAGTCAAACCTCTCCGAAATCTATTAAATAATAAAAAAGGGCCAGTAGAGGGCGCATTGCACATTTACTTTTCTTGTTAGACTGTTCAGAAAGATTTCACTACAACATTTAATGGATGAAAAATATATTGTAACTTTTTTATTAGAAAAAAAGCCGATGAAGTGGGACAAACTGAGAGTATAATGCTAATTATTGTTTAACAAATATGGCCAGTCATTCAATTAGTTAGATTAGATTAGAATTTTTTAAAATATAATTCTCATTTTTGTTAGAAATATCAGAGCATTGAATATAATCATTTGAAAGGTTTCAAAATGCTAAGTTACATTGTATTCATACTGGAACCAACCACTCTTAGGCTTTCTCGTTCCTACAAATCTACAGAAAGCATTGTCACAGTTACAGTGTATGACAACATGTTGACTAATCTAACATATTGGAGGCAAAACTGTGAATTACAGTATAATGTTCCTTACTTTTGTAAGTAAAGTAGACAAGAATTAGTTATTTTGATGAAAATGTAATCTATTAAATTTTAGTGACATACCATGTACAGTAAGTGAAAATACCTTTGTAAGGTATAATGCATTTTTGTGAAATATTATCTGATTGTTTTGTCCCTCTGGGCTTTAAATAGGCTTTGAGCATCTCCAGTTTTTAAATTAAATGATTAATTAAGCCAGTATTCTCAATTAGTCTTTATAGTGTAATCTTCAAGAATGCAGAAGAGTGATCAAAATTCCTGTATTTTAAATTATTTGGTCACATTGAGAACAAACTCTGATTGTTATTATTGCAGCATTGCATAAGCAAATCAAACTGCTTAATCCCCACAAGGTGCGATACTGTAGTTTGTGACTTGTAACTAATGTTGTCCATGTCTCTTTAGGTTGGGGATGAGATAGTCCGGATTAATGGCTACTCCATCTCTTCATGTATTCACGAGGAAGTGATTAACCTAATCCGAACCAAGAAGACGGTCTCCCTGAAAGTCAGGCGTAGGTTAAACTTGATTGTCTCATTGAAAACAGAAGCTCTTACTGCCCTCTGTTTACACAAATGTGACTAAATCATTTGCAATTTGAAGTGATTCACTGCTATGTTCAAATATGTATGTATATGTATATGATTCAGATTACAAAAAAGATGACAAAAGGCTACAGAAGATACAGATACAGATAGATTGCAAAAATGTCACATATAACAGGTGGCCTTTGGTTGATCTAAAGCTGAGCCAAATATTTATGTACCATTATATGTACATGACAAGCAAAAACCATCACTGTTTCTCTATATAAGGTGCTGTATACGATCATTAGTATAATAAATATATTAAAGACATGAAAATAGCCATTAGTAATGAAGACCTTGGAGTCATCCACATGAAACAGAAAATAAATAGTTAACTGTTTTCTCACAGCATTGTACTTATTCTGATAATAACTACAGTGTAGTTTGATAACATTCAGTAATGATTTTAATATAATCCTTGTTCACTTTAATTGAGAAACATATTAATTTAGATACAATTAATACACCATTAACAAATTAATGTGCCTTATTTAGTCTTCCTTTATCTGTTTTCAGTTATATCTGACAGTGCTATTGGAAGTCTCATTGTAGGTGCCTATTAGTAGACCAGTTACACTCAATTGCATAGACTGAATGGGTTTAGTACTGTAAATCTAGGTTTCCTGTTGAAAAGGCACTTTGTAAACTATACATTTATTGATTAACTCACTTATTAAATATTCAATTATCATTAAACTCATAATTTCTTCGTTTGCAGATGTGGGCATGATACCAGTCAAAAGGTAAAAAAAGAACACTTTTGGAATTTATACTTGATCATTTCTAATACAAAGTATAATGCAGTGAAAATCTATTTTAAAATGTAGTGATTGGTAACTTGTGTTTTAAAAAATACTGATTTAAAAACAACAATATACTGTTCAGTTCAAGCAGTATCATGATTTAAGGATTCACAAGACTGGAATCCAGAAGACAAGAAATTGATCTGCATATTGATGGAACAATTGGATTTGGGTGGTTTGGGTACAGGAACTTTTACAGTCAGAGTTCATTATGTACTGTAAAAATCAATAAGTACTGCTTTCCTACATAGTTCATCCGATGAGCCCCTGAAGTGGCAGTATGTGGACCAGTTTGTGTCTGAAACTGGGGTAAGATTTATTGCTTTTTAACTTTAACTCCTTGAAAAAAAATAGTTGGATGTAATTGATCATAGATTAGATTGCCTATAATGCAAATAAAGTCAGCAATGTTGTGCTGTATACTGTAATGTAGGGTATATACTGTATTGGATAGTGATTTTTCATATGTATTTTACATGAATACTTATTAAAGTTTGCTCTTATGTTTTACATGGTGTTTTCTCCTGTCAGCATTGTTAGTGTTTAATTTTTCAGATTTGCTTTAAAAATCAAAATATGAATTAGGTTAATTTCTTAACAGAAAATCCATATTCATTGTTTAAGAAAGTACCTGTAAATACCTGTCGTGGAAGATACACAAATGGCCCATGACAACCACAGCATGTACAGTATGAAGCTTTAAGATTTGATTTAGCTTTTTTTAATGTTCCACATCTTGTACTTCAATATAGGATAAGAAAAGCAGTGTCGCTGGATTGGCATCTATTGGAGGGAAAGAGCTGAAAGAGAAAAAGGTTTTCCTCAGTCTTGTTGGCACAAAGGGCATGGGAATAAGGTCTGTCATTTATGAAACAACTGGCTATGCATAGTTAGAAAGTGTCAAAGCTAAGAAGAGTTTTAAATGGTATTTCTATGTGTAGCCATTGTCCCTCTAGTAGTAACAGCACTGACCTTACAGCGTTTGTTACTTTCTGAATGATTGTTACTGTTGCTTTTCTGATTAGGAATATATATACTGTATACTGTATATGTTTGGCAGTTAATAAAATGCATGTATTTTTTAAACATTTTCTTAAATTTTAATTAGCTAAAAAATAAAATTATTTTTTAATTTGTAAACAGTGTGTTTGTCTGCTGAGTATTAATTATTACTAGTATTAATGATGTACTGTAAGTACTAATGCTGCTTAATGTTAATTTGTTTCAGCATTTCTAGTGGTCCAACACAGAAGCCGGGGATATACATCAGTAATGTGAAGCAAGGCTCTCTGTCAGCAGAGGTTGGGCTCCAGGTAAACTGTCTCTCTTTAATGTACATGAAGATGTACTGTGGAGTGTTATGTCTGAGTTAGTTTCATACTTTATTATTGCTATTGATGCTTATGATAATAAAAACATTCCCATTGTCATTTTTAATTGTGGGGCATTAAAGAATTCCATTGGAATGATCAGATATTCTTGTTATTTTTAAACCATATAAAAAACTAGTTGTCAGTAAAAGTGGTTTGTTACCATCTATACTGACCATCTCCTCTAAAATTCACATCTTCATTGCTTGCACTATAATTACCCAATGGACAATTTCTAGACATGCGATGTACTGTAGCTAGGGTTCTTCAACACTGAATGAACGCTGGCTTCCTTACAATGGAAGGATTTCTCATTATTACTTTTGTCCCCTGATTTATTCTATACTGGCAATACTTTCATATGGATAGCGATATGGTTTGGGAAGTGTGTATTTATTTTATCTCAAGGATTAAAGCTAAGATAACAGAACTATCTGTCTTTGAAATTCAAAATGTAACTTTCTTTGCATTTATTTCAGGTGGGCGATCAAATTGTTGAAGTGAATGGTGTTGACTTCACAAACCTGGACCACAAGGAGGCAAGTGGTTTTACAGTAGTTGTGAGATGTGTAAGTGGCTATTTTTGTGAGATACAATTGGCCTTTCTTACAGTGAGTATGCAGATGTCATCTATAAACAACTTTTACATTTCATTGTAACATGTGTTTTTTTAAATTAAAGCACCAGAAGCAACATTATATAAAGAATGAAATAAACTTTAAAGTTAATAAATAAGGCATACATTTTAAGCTGTTAAGCTGGTTTGTCATGATCAAAATAATTCTTGACTGTGGCTAAATACCTTTTATTTTCTAGGCTGTGAGGGTCCTTAAAAGCAGTCGAAGCTTGACCATTACAGTTCTCACAGGAGCAGTGAGTACATTCTGATATTCAAAACGTTTTTCTTTTTTAGTTATATCTACTATTTGAATATCAAGTATTTATCCCTCCCTTCATTGCCTACTCATCAAACCGTCAGAGGATATTTGAGTTTTATTGGGTGGTGTGAGTTGTCCTTTTTTGGCATATTATCCATCTCTCTCACCACAATAACAATTGTGGCAACTCCTTGTGCGCTAATCCTTATAGCTCCCCCTTGTGGCAAGACCCTGGGTTAGTCTCGAAGGATGTGTCTTTTTCTTGGAGTGGAGTGGAAGCATCATGCTGTACTGGTAAGGGCTCTGTGCCCTGAACTGGAGGGTCATGGCTTCAAGTCCCAGATGCGATGCTGTTGTTGTATCCTTGGGTGCGGCACCGTACTTATCCTGCTGCAATAAATGGGTCTCCAGGCACTCGTTGGGTCTGCTGTTAGAGGGAATGGCATCTTCACTGCGGGGATGTTGACTGCTGTTTGCAGGGCAAGGAACTGTTCATGACTGATGATGAGCGACTGGTTATGGAGTCCCGCAGAGAGGTGGAACGGCAGGAGCTGATGCACCAGAAGAGAGTGGCCCTGGAGACCAACAAGATCCTCAAGGAACAGCAAGAGAAAGAGAGACTGTGAGAGACCTACAGTAGCAACTCTGTTCCTCTCGAATGTGGTCCTTTCGAAACACGAATGCAGTCCATTCATTTGGCAATACCGCTGTAAATCTCTGATTTTGTGAATATCTCTAAATGCACAAAAGATTTCTCTTTTCTCAAAGTTTTTTGAAGAAAATGTGATCCACTAGAATTAATATTTAACCTTTAAATCCACTTCTGATACCATGTAAATTCAGTGCTTTTTTCTAGGTAATGTACTTGTTACAAGAATAATTGCCTAGTTACCAGTTTTACTTGGTTGCCGATGAATCAGACACATGAGCAAACATTGTAAAACCTTCTGTGACATTTTGCACACAAAGACCATTAAAGACAGTATTTTTAGTTAATGGCCCTAAATGAGATACTGTAACATATGTTGCTGCTTGACGTTTAGCAATGAAGTCTATTGAAATGGGTCGTATTAAAATGATCGATTAGTCAACAATAGCTATGTTTTTGCATATTCTTTCATACATAGTCATTAGCCATCTGTCCAGAAAATCAATGAATCCCGGACACATTAGGCTTAATGAATGTTTTCCTTACATACAGTATCTTGTAACATTACAGTAAAAGTTAAAGAGTAAAAACTACACAACTTTGTTTACAGCTAGAGATAGAAATCCTAGCCATATACTGTACATCACTAGTATGTTAGTTAATCCCTGTTTTTATTAAATTGTACACACTATATGTTTACATTTCACTTCATTAATCAACACACAGTAAAATGTGTTATGTGTAATGTAGGCCAGTTTTGGCTACTGAATTTGTTTTGGGTCTTTGTTTGTATTTAAACAATTTCAATGAAGTTGTCTTAAAAAAATACTTCAGGAACATGTATTTTAAATGATGGTAACAGTCATATTATGAAGCTTGGCATTATACAGATTGCACTGTGTGAGCTTCATTTTGGACTGCCTGTGATTTAATTTTGGGCTCAGGTTTCACGTCAGTCCGATCCTTTGCCTTTGCCTTCATTTTTCATTCAATTTCTGGATTTGTGGCTTTCAGTTAAGGCACAGTCAGCATTTTAATATCCAGCCATGAATTTTCTAACCACATTCACGCCTGTCCCAGTGAGCACACTGGAATACACACTGGACATGACGCTAGTCTATCACAGGACACACAGAGACACAAACATTCACAAACACACCAAGAAAAGTGGTTAGCATTGCCGCAATATGTTTTTTTTTTGTACTGTATAACTACAGTATCAGATATATAATGCTGTAAATGGTAGGGATATCTTTTTAATGAAACTATCATAACATCATCATTTTTGAAATAGCACTTTTATGTCCATGTTTCTTTAGGAGGCAGATAGAGATTTCTCAGAAGACTGCAGAGGAAGAAGAACGCTATCGCAAAGAAATGGAAAGGTCAGTCTTATCCCACTTGTGTTTAAATGATTTTATGAATAAAAACTTTATCTCAAAGGCAAATGTTAAGCATCTTTTTACCAACAACATTTAAACATTTTACTTTATTCATATGGATTCATATCCCAAACCTATTTACGTTTGGCCCCACTCTATTTTGGAAAAAAAAAAGAATTCATTTACAGAGGAGTTCTGTATCATGATATTGTTCAATGACAGTGACTTTAATGAACAGTTATACATTTTGAAACTGGTGCACAAAGTTCCAATTTTTCACTGTGTTCTCAAATTTTAAAGGATAAACACATATTTGCATTTGCAAACAAAACAAAGAATAGAAAGTACAGCAGCTTGTTCTCCAAGTAGAAAGATTGCTCAAACATTATGTGATGTAGTAGCTGTCTAATTGTATTGGTGGTCAGGCCAGAGAGGAGAAATACAGAAACTAGCAGCTAGAGCTGGCAGGCAAAGCCTCCAGATAATTCCCCATCAGGATGCTCGGGGATCTTTGAGTTCAGGCCAAGATGCTGTGGTCTATTATAGCTAATCAGTTTGGGCTTTATTTCAACAGTGCTTGCTGGGGCAGGAGGTTGAGGGCAACGCAGAAGTGCCATCGATCTTTCAGTTAACAAACCTTGCATGTTTTATAGAGATTTTGTTTATGTAGTAGTGATCTGAACAAGAATAGACATTATAGGGTTTTCCAGGATCTCTAGAATTTCTTCCCTTTAAACTCCCTTTACATGACAGATAACATCTAAACTAATAATATGCAAAACTATACTTTGTGTCTCTGTGGTGTTCTTTTGCAAATTCTAGTGAAGAGGTAGCACATATCACCTGTTAATCTGTGAAAAGTAGAACATTAACTCACAACAGTTTTTAATAACCTTGTGTGTGTAGTATATACTGTATAAGCATAACATTGCCAGTCAACTGTTGGATAAGAAATAGGTGATGGAAGTTCTGACTAAAGTTCACATTATTAAACAATAATTTACTCCATCACCGGAGCTCTTGATTCATAATATTTCAGTTTGCATGTAAGTTGAAGACTTGAGTCTAACAAGGTGCATTTCTTCCTTTCAGTAATGGTATGAAAAGAAAAACAGTAAACCACGCTTTCCAGTTAGCACACTATAGCCAAGTATCACCTTCTTTTAACTGGTATCAGGCTGGTTCAAATGTTGTTTAAAGGGTGGATGTTTTATTTAAGCCTTGCCAAAGGCCACTCTATGTGAGGCTAAACCCCTTGTGAGCATGTGATTCAGTAACACTGTCCTTCAAGCCTGCAGAGCCAATAATGTGTTTTTTTTATGTAGAACAAAATTGGTCAGCAGCATTTTTTTAATACAATACAAATACACCCATGAGGACATGAGCATGAAATATACTGTGTGTATTGTTTCAGAATTGAAGAGGCTGAGAGGAAACATCTAAGGGAATGGGAAGAGGACTGGGGGCCCAGAGAGCAGCCAAAGAGCCCCGTGCCCCCGCCTGCAGAGAGGAACACCCCCTCTCCGCCGAAACCCAAAAGCTCAGGTAATCACCTGGCTGCAGAGGCACTTCAGAAACGCAGACATCATCTGTGGACCTTTCATACCTTGGATATGTACGACTAATTCATGGAATTCATTTGGAAATGAGCCTTTTCGCTTGGGGTTTGCTTTTACACTTTCCATTTTTTCATTGGGTCCAGTTTATAGGGATTTCTGCCTGACACGTTATGTGCAAGGGGTATACAGTCTTGTATGTGGAGGGTTGCATCTGTGTCAGACCTCCTCTGTAAGTTATATCGAGGTTTTAGTTCATTTGCTGTTGGTAGAATGGGTACCTGACACAGGGTTTAGAAATGTTATGGAAAAGAGCTGCAGTAGATCCTGTGCATGCAGATTACAGTACGTACTTGCTGTGGTGTGGTTAGCAGATGAAGAATGCAGTCTTGCTGACAAGCTGGAGAATCCAATGGCTAGAGCCCAGTGAAGGCTCGGAAACAGCGGACGGCTGACGGGTTGCCAAAGCGGGACGGAAAAGCTGACGGAGATTGCCAAGGCAGGATGGAGAGGGGTAGCAGAGGGGACTGATCTGAGAAAGCAGGCAAGAGCGCCTATCAGGGCTGATCCGGGCAGGGTGGCTTTGCTGCCATGCAGGGGTGCTCGCCAGAGTTTCCGAAACATGGTCCAGGTCTTGGATGAAAGCAGCAGGGCGCAGGCAGGCAGAGGGGTCTCAAGAAAGACAGGGAGTCTGTCAGACAGGATTCAGCTGACTGTCCTACTGAGATGCAGGTTAGCAATGTTGAGAGCATTACCCAGGTGGAAAGGTATCTCAAGAACACGGCACTAGATCGGTGGCAGAGCAGGGTGTGAAGGGATTAGAACCCGTTTATTGGAGGAAAGTGGTTGGGCCAATCAGCTCGAGCGAGTCTGAACAGTCTCTGGAGATGATCGACTCCTCGCGTGAATGCTCCCGGTTTCTAAGGAGACTGAGGGCTGCAAGTTCTGGCTCGCCCAGGCATCACAGTACAAAGAACGGGTGCTAATAAAGATGACAGCTGTGATGGGGGAAAAAAAAATAAGTGTAAACTTTAGAAATCCCTACTGACCAGCATATTCTACAAGCAACTTTTTCTCACAGACCAGTGCCATCCTGTGGATAGATGAATAAACTAAGATCCTGAATATCTGCGCGTTAAAGATCCCATGTTTTGAGCTCCTTTGAAATGAAAATGGTTATACCAGTGCAAGGAATTGATATTATTCTTCACTCACAATGATGACAGTCTTGTTAGTCCGAGGTTTGTACTGAGCTCAGTATAAACGCTGCGCACAGCAGGCCTGCCGCATGCTGAATGTTGGGTGTTAACACAAGTTCTGAGTGAACAGTCTTCTTCAGACAAACTGCGGTAGGTACAGTATGAAAGGAACTTCTTTGTGTTAGGTCGGATCACTTGAACACAGACATAAATACAAATATGAATATTGTTTATTTATACTGTGATGAACCTACACACATACAGTACATGTCTGTGTGATTTTCCTACATTTCCTCTATCATCACAATTTCACCATAATCTGTTTCTAACTCATCTGACCTGGATTCTTGAGTGGTACTAGTTGTATGAGGCCATTTTCTTGTTGGTCTTTTTAGGTCTTTCAGGGAATGTTTAGGATATGTTTTCATCTTCTTTCCTTGCGACTTCCTTACCAGATAACGGGCCGTCTGCCTGGCAGCTTGAGAATGCGGAGGATGAGCAGGGGCCGGACGCAAGTGACCTGGTGAATGGGCAGCAGGTTTGCAGCCGGCCATCCTGATACAGTCGCTGCTGGCGCTAGATTCCTTTTGACAACCAAGTCTTGCTGGTCACGCTTGTTTGACCAGCAGCACATCCTTCCGAAAACCGGTCTCCTTTCAGGTTTCCTGTTCTTTTTGCGGGGATCCTGCTGTGCTTTGTAGGCGCGCTTACTCGTCTTCCTGTTCGCAGTGACTCTGCCAGTGATTCCAAAGGGGACCCAAGAACTGAATTCAGATTGAGTGAAGCAGTGTTTATCTACCCATACAGTTCTGCTACCACAGCAATACACCTGCCTCAGGGATTGTGACTGTTCATTATTTCAATATATTTTTCACAAGGCACTCTCCTTGACCTCCTAAAAAAATATTTTTTTTCCAGTCAGAGGCGATCACATAATCCGTTTTTTTTTTTTACTTTTGACATCAATATTGTTTTTCTATTGGTTATTAATTCTCATCTCTGGCAGCGGTGTGGTTTGGCTGGCATGGTTGTCGAAGTCCTTCTGTGTTCTGGAGTACAATCCGCTCTAAGTCAAAGTATATGTTTTGTGTCCCTGTAGCTTTCGGCTGGTTTTACAGATATGAAGGGAAGTTGCCTACACTTCGAAAGGTGCGCTGTGTGTGTGGAGTATTTTGCTGTTGCAGTGGGGTTTGCAGCTGTTTCTTTTTCTGGTGACACTTTACAATATATATATATAGCAATGAATTCAGTAGCTACTCATAGGGTTTTAAAGTAACCATTTAACCATTTAAAGTAACCATCTATTGTAAAATGTCCTCATTGTGTGACTCTGATTTAAGAGTAATCAACTTTTGAGTGCTTCTTACTATACATAATCCTTTATGCACTAAAAAGAATGAGATCTTGGGATATTGTTAAGTTAAATTTTTAAACACTGAATGTATCGTTAGTTGTGCTTGTTTAAGTCATAGCAATTCCTGTAACGTAACTAGAGAATTTGAAAACATTTTCAGTGTTTTATTGCATCTGAAAGGGAGGAGGTGGAATGATATGAAGAGTGTTTTACAGTACATCCGTCAGTTTCCTTGTGTGGTGTGCTAAAAATCTGCTGTCACGTCTCAGAAAGGAAAAAAAGAAAAAGGAAAAAAGAAGCCCTCTAAGAATGACACGCTTCAGGAACAGAGGAAGAATAAGAAGGAGCTTGAGTTTGAGCTGAAGCTAGCCAAGGAAAAAGAAGAAATGTTAGAACGAGAAAAACAGCTCAAAATCAGTAGGCTAGTGCAAGAGGTATGGTTTTGAAATGAGTGCAGTGAAATCAGTGCATGATTTTTTTTCTTTCTAAATATGAGCATTTTCTTTCTGACCAGAACTATTGTAGGTTCACTTTAAGGTTTGTGAAGTTTTTGAATAGTCCAAATACTGCTATTTTATTAGACACTTGATTAGAGATTTCCATAGTTATGTGAGATGTTTTTCTTTGTGTAATTTGCACTTCACTAAAGCATACTGCTAGCTTGTGTGGTTTCTGGGTTTTTCTAAACTAGAATATCGAAATCGCAATGTAAAAGGGCATTTTGTCAATTTTTTTTAAAAGCCACTGCTATTTACTATTCTCTTTCTCATGTTAAGAAGCACTCAGCAGCGCATCAGTGCTGTGCAGTGGCCGATGGTCTTTGTTCTGGTGTGCATTGTGCCCTTGCTTTCTAAGTGGTAATGTGATTCAGGTGTCGGAGACCGAGCGAGAGGACCTGGAGGAGTCGGAAAAGGTTCAACACTGGGTAGAACGGCTTTGTCAGACTCGATTAGAGCAAATCTCCTCCGCAGAGAATGAGTCCACTGAGGTAAACTCACCTCATTCTCATCTAAGAATTGAATGTTTCAACTCTGGCGTCTGCATTGTACTACAGTCAAGCATGTGTCTGATTATTCAGCAGCAGGCAGACGTACTGTAGGAAATTTTGCTTTTGAGTCCTATGGCAAGTCTGTTTGGTAGGCTAACTGTTTTTCCCCACGTTTTGATAAATTGTGTTGGTTATATACTTAATTAGTATCTTAGAAATTTTATTTTCTGTGTTATTTCTTATAATCTGGGAGGATTTAATTAATAATGATCAGAAAAGGAATGTTGTGGAATTTTAACTTGGAGCATTATATTACACGACTTGCACATTTACTGTATTTTCGTTTGGCATGTCCTGTAAGGGCTCACGTGCGGTTTACGTGCAGTGTGTCGGCAGCTGATTCAGTGTCCTCTCAGGTGCCGACAGACAGAGCCCCCTCCACGGGACCCTCAGTGCGCCGGTTTGCAGGAGGTTTGCAGCTCACCACCACAGACCTGGACGACATTAATTTAGATGACGTGGACCAGAGTTTAAAG